TTCTCTTATGTTTGTTTGTCTTCTGAATCCATGGTTCTTGATTACAAAACCTCTGAGAGAGATGATGAGAATCTGTGTTGACTATATAAGCTGCAGAAGAGTTTGAAAGCAACAGTAATAGCGTTATGCAATGAGGCCACCAGAATTATACCCTTTTTTCTCATGAAAGATTAGTGATGATAGAGCATTAATATTGATTAATGAAGTCAAAGCCAGGAAATATCTTTTGCACTGTTACAGAAGAGACAGCTGCTTTTATGCTGTTTAATATTAAGACCGAATTGCCAAGCATTTTATTCTAGGACATTTAAAATACAGTATAGTATACAATCTAAGAGATAAACTGTTGGGACAAAATACATATCTGGACCACAACTTGTACTTAAACTGAAACTGGCATGTACAGTTAATTTTTTTGTTCCCATCAAAGTCAGCTACTCTGGTTATATTATTTTATAGAGCATAGTATTACCCTTCCTTTTTGCATCACTTTAGCTTTCCTTTCCTTGGTTCTGTGGTATTCCTCAGCTTAAATTATAGGATGTTTGATAGGCTTGAGAAATAATTAGGTTTTTAAGATATGTGTCATAGATCAGTCTTCCCTACCTCAGTATTGTCCAGATGTATTCCTAGCCAGTATATTAGCTAATGTCTCTGGAGAGCATGAAGTTATAGAAAGCACTTTTCTCTTTGGCCATGCAAACAACACAGAAGAACATATTGAGACCTGTTTCATAGAGAGAGCAAATATATTCTGCAATTTTGATTCAGAAAAACTCACACTGAAACAAAGCTTTTAGTTTTTAAGGTGGCACAACATCCCCCGTCCCCTTTTTCCTTTCCTTTTTTCCCATTTTATTTTGTCACCATGTAAAACTAACACAGGTACCTCTTTAGAAACTTGTCTGATTTTATGCTTTAGTTTAGTTTAACATGAAGATGTTGTAAAAAACAGTTTTGTGACACATTCATACTAACAGAGTCTGAGGCTGGATGACACCTTTATTGATCACTAAAAAGCTACCAGCAGTATGATTGTTTGAGTTCTGAAGAACTCTTCATCACATAAAAATAGTTTAAAAATTGGGGATAGGGCAGCTAGTTCAAAAGTTATGTCCAAAGCCAAAATATCAATGAAGTAAATTGGAGTTCGGATTCCATATGAAAAAGTTTAAGACAAAATTTAAAGAGTTCATGAGGAGAGATGGGCATCTTCCTGAGCTCACCCTCTCCTGCTCAAACTGCGAAGGCCAGTTTCTGAACCAAAAGGAACCTCCCCAATCATTTTTGTTTTGCCTTCTTAGCCAAGTCCCTGACCCATGAAATAATTGAAGCTTCTGACTTTGCCTCCAGATGTCCCCACTCTGTTTTCAAGGGAAAAGGCAATGAGTAGGGAAACATGCTGGCTTGGGTGCCACAATTTTGTAGAATCATAGAATAATTGTGGTGGGAGGGGTCTAGAAGGCCATTGAGTCTAACCCCCTGCTCAGTGCAGGAATCCAAACCAAGATAGATCTCACAGATGGTTGCCCAATTTTCTCTTGAATGCCCTCGGTGTCGGGACATTCACCACCTCCCAAAATAATTGGTCCCATTGTTGTTTAAACATGTTGTGAATACTTCCAGCCTTTCTTCTGTTTCCTACTTTGTGATATGAGGGTGCGATTAGCTTGACATGGCCAAGGTTTGTGGGCACTTTGTCCGAGCAGCTGCCAAACAAACCCTAGGCTTTTTCTTATTCTCAGAGCTGGAGAGGTGGTCGGGGACACCATGCAACTGCTAGGATAATCCCTGTCCAGTTCTGATGCTTCAAAGCTGGAAGGAGGCCTGGCTGCTTATTAGAGGATTGCACCATACTTACCAGGACAAGTGGAATTGCTGAAACTTTTATATACTAAAAATGGCATCTAATTTTACTGTTTGGTAAGATGCACAATGCATAGTGTTACGAGTGCTTTAAAGAGAGGTTTGAATTGTTATTAATTACAGTGAGGAATATTTTACAAAAGACCGCCTAGTCTGCATTTTAAAATGTCTACTCTCAATTATTACTTAGTGATATATTCTGCATCATGAATATTTCAATACGCTCTTTCTGTCTTCACCTTATTACAGTGGTGCCTCGCTAGACGATGATAATCTGTTCCATTGAAATCGCTGTTTAGCGAATTCATTGTCTAGCGAAAAGCATTTCCCCATTGGAATGCATTGAAATCTGTTTAATGTGTTCCAATGGGGAAGAATCATCGTTGTCTAGTGAAGATTGGCCATAGGAAAGCCGCTTTGCGAACTGCCAATTAACTGTTTAAATAGCTGTCTTGCAAAGCTTAGGTCCCAAAAACACCTGTTTTGCGAGTGCTGAGGAAGCTGTCAAAATTGTCGTCTAGCGAAAATCGGTTTGCGAAGCAGGGACCAAACATTGTCCAGTGAAATTCCCCCATAGGAATCACTGTTTTGCAAATCGCTATAGTGATCGCAAAAAGTCAATGTCTTGTGAAAAAACTCATGCAGGGTAACTGTCTAGCGAGGCATCACTTCATGTATCTAATGGAGAAACAATGTTCAAGGGGCAGTCATCCTCTGTACTAACAGTGAACTCATTTTCAGAGTACTGTTCATTACATAGTCACAGGGTGGATTTCATTTCAGTCATGATTTAAACCACATTTAAATTAAAAAAAAAGCTTTTTGACGATTAAAATACTTGTGAAAATAATAGTTTAAATTAAATCAAATTTAATTCAATTTTATTTAAAACAACCCTTGATTTTTATCCACGCGTTATAGGCAAAATAACACCAGCCATGCTTTGCATAGGACAGAGGTATCAAATTCAGAACGCATGTAGAAGCATGGCAGGGGAAGATTTAGTGGAAGAAACAATCCAGAACAGTTCATTGAGGACTGTGCGTGGTTGTAGAACTCTCTGCCTAAAGAGTCTTCCCTTGTTATTTCTTTGGCAAACTTGTGTTCCCAGATAAAGGCCTACCTCTTTTTCCTTAATCTAGTTTGTTTTACTGCAAATATAGATACTTGGAAAATACAAAGAAGCATTGGGGAACAATAAAATCTCCATTTGCTTTGGAGAGGTAGGACTTCCTTGAAAAGCAAGAAGGGTTGTCAGCCTTGACTCTTTTTGTATACTTTTTGCTGAAGTCTGACAAGAATTAAGTGCAAACTCGGTGACTTTTCTTTTTTACTTTGTTGGACCTCAGTCTTCTCAGATATGCCTCACACCTATGCCTATTGCCAGGATTGAAGATACAGGTCATAGGGTTATAGTTAAGATTAAAAGTTTTGTCCCACTTGCAGTAAATGCTAACCTATAGAAAATTACTAGTGTGTGTATGCTGTTCATGATTTAACTTGCATTTGTAAAACTGATCACTTGGAATGGATAAAAATTGTTTCTGAGTGGCCAAGCAGAAAAGATGTTTGCGTGCTGAAGGTGGACATCTTCTTCTAGGGTACCAATGTGCTACAAATTGTTTGCATTGGTATGTGTGGAGGAGTGATTTACAGGGGTTGAAAAATTTTAGAATGTTTCACCAGTCAGTCAAAAATTTCACTGTTCAGCATGAGCAGAACAATTTATTGGGATTGGGAATCACTGATCTATCCCCTCAGACTTGGGTTGCTTTATTACCTGCATGTTTGTGGGATCATGAAGCTTGTATATTGAATGCCTTTCTTTTGAATGTTTCCAGCAAAAATAAAACTGAAAGCAAAAGCTCCTGACCTCTTAAGGAGCCACGGTTCCCTCCTCATTCTGTTGAAATTGGGAGCAGAGAATCTCCATATTCTCCAGCATGGGACTACCCTACATTCTCCTGCAGAGCTATACAGTGGTGCCTCCACTTATGACCATAATCCAATCCAGAAGATGAAAGTAACTCAAAATGGTTGTAAGTCAAAGCACCATTTCCGATAGGAATGCATTGAAATGCAATTAATCCGTTCCGGCTGAAGAAAAAAAATCACACACAAAATAATAATAATAATAAAAATTAAAAATCACTGCAAGACTCATTGGAAACCCAATTAATCCCTACCAGCTGAGGGGGGGGGGAAGCAACCAGACCCATTGGAAATGGGGAACCCTCCCAAAAGCAACCCCCCCAAGATCCATTGGAAATGGGAGGGAAGACCCAAAAAAAAACACATACCCCCCAAGAGTGCTGTCCTCTGAAGATGCCGGCCACAGAGACTGGTGAAACATTAGGAAGAACAACCTCCAGAACACGACCAAAGAACCCACAACAAACAAACCCCCCAAGACCCATCACAGCACAGGAAGATAACCCCCCATCCCAAAACCATGCTGCAAAAACACCTAGAACAGTTTTTTAAAAGCAGAAAACAGCACCTTACCTTACCAGGCAGCCCAAAGCCTCCCTGCAAACACATACACACACTCTCAGAAGCAGAAAGAGGCAGTCCCAAGCCTCTGATGATGACACACACTCTCTAACTGCTGGGGCGAAAGAGCTACAAAGAAGCAGCCTCATCGCCACCTACAGTTAGCAATTTGAATTTCCTGCCTTTTTCCCCTGCTTTTTTCTGTTCGTACGTGGAAGCTCCGGTTGCAAGAAGAAGACAAACTTTGCAGCAGGAGCTGGTTGTAACTCAAAATGGTCGTAAGTAGGGTCGTTCATAAGTCGAGGTACCACTGTATATGTACCACTCAAAGTCTTCTCGTGAGAAGAGGGCAGTTTTCCTTTTCCATTGGGAGGGGGGATGGAAGGACTGCAGGATTAGAGAGAGAGATGGGCAGAGGGGAAGGAGGCAGGGAGGGAGGGAGCTGTGACTCATTGAGCAGCATTTTTCACTCATCACAGACGAGTGGATGAGTGCATTTTTCAAGCCCTGGTGATTTAGTTAATACTTTGGAAGGGTGGCTGAACCTTCTCTCAGTCTGACTAATCGTGGTCCTGGTCTAAATGAGAAGAATGAAAGCAATGGTAACTACAGTATGAATATACATGTATGTTTCATTTCAGGTTTCCCTTGTGGCTGCTGGCAATGTCCATGATCTTGTCTGCCTCAGTGGTCCGTGTGAGAGATGGACTCCCTCTATCTGCCTCTACTGACTATGAGCAAAACAGTGGTGTGCAGGAGTGCAGAAAATACTTCAAAATTCTTGCAAAGAGACTTTCTCAGCTTCCAGATAGATGTACTTTGCAAGCAGGACAGTATAACATAAAGTAAGTTTTCAGTGAGACTTGTCATCTCTGTCCAAATTGTTCTTTATTGTTTCATGTAAAATTGTTAGCTGCTATAATGGTGGCTGGGAAAATAAAAGTCAGCTTTAAGTCCAGATATGATTTCAGAACCTCTAATAAGGTATTTAAATGTGTACCTACTCCCCTTTGAACCGGCATGTCAATTGCAGCTGTCTTTATAGGACTTTCCCTGTGTGCAGCTACCCAAATTGGGCTGCTGGAGTCATTTGACAGGCCATTTTCAGTGCTAGTGGCCCAGTTTGGTGAACTTCCACCTACTGGTGGTTACACTGGCCCCTTTTTTGAAATGTTCTATGCGGACAACTGGCTAATGTTTTAAAATTTTGCTTAGTTGGGATATATTTTGTTTGTATTTATATTTTTTAATACTTTGAAAAAAATTACCTTTTAAATGCTCTGCTATTTAATTTTAATACAATTTTGATTCTTGTACACTGTCTTGGAACCCTTAGTAAGGTTAAAAGGAGGTACGTAAAGTTTCCAAAGATTCTTCCAGTACTATCTCTTGTCTCATTTTGGACTTGTCTTATCATAGGGTTTTCAAGTAAGAACAGTTTAGCAATGGTTTACCATTGCCACCTTCTGTACAGTACTAACAAAAGTTAGCTTGAGTGTTACCGTCTTTGCCTCCTCTGCCAGTGTCACTTTCACTTACCATTGCTGCCTAGTAGCTGCCAGCCCATCACCATCGGAACTATCAATTCTCTTTTGATGATGTGGCTGTTATCCTTGAAGAAGGTTGATGGATCTTAGTCTTGTGTCTCAGCTGTGACGGTTCTGTCTTGGGTGATCCTGCTAGGAGTCCAGACTCAAAACAGAGTTTGGCTTCCTGACGGCTTTGCTCTCAGCTTCACTGAAACGGTTAAACCCCTTCGCCACTTTAAGGTGTGCGTCCAAGAAGCGGCTGGGCTGCCTAGCAGTGTTGAAATCAGGAGACCTTAACATTTATATGTCATATATATCTCAAATCATGTTAGAGCTGCTGTTTCGTATTGCATTACAAAATAGGACTAATGCATTATTTTAACTGAATGGTTATTGAATAAAGACTCGTTAGTATATGCCAGAGTTTCAATTAAAAGAAGGGAAATTTTCCAGCTTCTGATGGTTTCCCTTACTGCTATCTCTGTCTACTGATGAAGAAGCATCCTTGCTGGGGAAGCATTTCATTCTCTGGCTCATAAAGATAATTCTCAAGAGCTATTCTTCTGCTTTTTGGAATGAGGCAGATGGCGTGTCATGTATTATCGATACATTAAAACATCTAAAGAGGAGAAGGTTATGTGCCTTTTCTTACCCCTCCTTCCCACTTTAAAGATGAAAGGTCCCCTCCCACACAGTTCCACATGTTGCGCTCTCGCTCTCTCTTGCTCTCTCTCTCTCTCTCTTTCTCTCTCTCTTGTGCATGCGCAGACACTCACACAGGACCCAAATTGCAGTTTGCAGTTCTTGGAAAGACATCATCTATAAGAATACTCCCTTTTTCTGCTGAAAGTAATGTTAGATTTTCTCATGAATAGTAATGCCTTCATTATAACCCACAGCCATTTTTCTTTTTCTTATAACATTCAGAGCTACTTGAAGTCAACCAAACTATGGATGCATTAATTTAATTTTGAAATGTTAAACATATTTTTGAAAATTACAGTTTTATTAGTTCCCTGGGAGTGAGTTACATGATGCTCTGCACTGAAAATTACCCCAGTGTCCTGGCTTTCTGCTTCCTGGACGAGCTTCAGAAAGAGTTCATTACCACATACAACATGATGAAGACAAATACGGCTGTTAGACCTTACTGTTTCATTGAGTTTGGTAAGGGATTTACCATTTTCATTGATAACTATAGATCATATACTCTTCCAGTTTAACATGGATTAAACAGTAACACTTACAGTCCTTTTAAAAATTAGTCAGAGCAATCAGTTTTGCAATTAAAATCCAGATGCAATCAATGCTTCATTTACTGCTAGTACTCAGATATTGAAATCAGTCCCCAGTGCCTAACAGTGTTAGAAGTCTTTCACCTGTTGCATGAACAGAGAAAGGCTCATTTAGGGAGGCCTTCCTGGGAACTTTGAGTTACAGCCCAAAAGATCTTGTTCTGCAGAACTACAAAGGAACCTCCTGCAGGGAGGGATTTTAGCGAAAGGAACCTTTTGCACTAAGAAGAAAGGGGAACATGTGACAAGAGATCTTTTTTTTACTCTTTACCCAATTATATTGATTTATAAAATCAATTATATTGATTTACATATACCAGTAACTCTTGTGTTGGAATGTGGAAAAAAAGGTTCATTATTTTACAGAGAAAATGACATTCTAAGTACTTATTTGGACATTATTTTCCTCTCCCAGATACATAATACTTCTTGGACAATTTCCTTGTTTTCATGAATACATTTAATAAGTTATTAATATATCATATACCAATACTAATATTTTATGCAGAAATCTGACTTCACCAATATTGAGAGAGTTCAAAATTGATTTGTGCATATGATATTAGGAGCCTCAAAATCTACGTCCCTGTTTGATAAGAGTGGAATTGATTATGGAAACGGTTGCTGATACAATTCATGCCAGAATGATCAGTTATTGGTGCAAAATTAATCAGATGAAGGAAAGCAGACTTCCTAAGTTCTGGAACAGAGGATAACTCTCTATGAACACCGTTAGTTAAAGAAATTTTCCAAATTACTCCCAAAATATGTTTTTTCCATACAGGCATTTAACCCAAGGAGTAATGATATCAAAATATATATTTAAACAAAGAGTACCAGATATTGGAGCTGCAATTTACCTAAATATTATTAAAGTCCTGTAAAATGTCAAATGGTTAATGGATACAAAACATTTGCATCAGTTTGAAAAATATCAGTCATACCCAATGACAATGGAACTCCAGAAAGCCTTTAAGAGATTATGTTTTGAACAAATAGAATCAATGATGAAATTGAGGAGATTCCATGGTATACCAATTCAAGACAAACAATATATATGTTGGGCACCAGCTGTGGGAGATCTTACTCTATATTCTCAACTGTTAATTATATACTGACACCAGATAATGCAATCTAGATCCCTTGCTAAACAGAAAGAAGTTCGAGGATGTGAAAGATAAGCTTCAAACCCGTACATGACCCAAGATGTCCTGTTCACAATAAAGGCGGCTAGATGCAAAGAACAATATAAAGACTCTGGACTAAAACCAATATTGAGATCCAAAAATATAACAGCATGAACATAATTTGATAAACTCACTAATTTTAATATATATTAATACAATCACAGTCAAATACAACCTGTAACTGATTAATCTATTTTATAAGTATTGTTTCAGAGGTATTTAAAGTAGTGACTTAAAGGTACCTAACTTAAATGTATAATTATGTCTCTTGCCCTAATTTTATCTGTTGTTACAGTTGTTTTATGTCAGTCTGACTGACTGTAACTGTTTTATCTTGCCATGGTCTTTGACTGGTGCAATAAATAGTATATATATTTATATATCTGCATGGTTTTAGTTTAACCTGGAATACTTGACTGACCAGGTTAAAAAAGTAGTTTGACTTTCTTCCCACTCTTATAACGTTACACATTTTGGGACAGAGATAGTGATTTATTTTATATTAGTCTCTAGTATTTGTTATTTTTGCCACAGAAACCATTAGAAACAATTTAATGAATTTGAACAGGAGTATAATAGAAACAACAACAAAAATTAAGATATAAATCTTTCCGTAACATAAATAGAACAGTAGAAATAAAGAAGAGCACATTGTACCTTTGGCATCAAGGGCTGAACAAGAAATCTGGGCAACTATGGAGGATCGCATGGTTTTATTCTAAGTTCTTTTGTATTTTTAAAAAAGCAGAATAATGTGTCCCTTATTAAACTGGTATTCTGTAACCACGTTCCATACACTAATGTCCTGATACTGTCGTTTTGAAGTGTATGTGCAAAAGTGGCAAGTTAGTAGTTGATAGCACTTTGTTGGAACACCTGGTTGGGGAGCCAAAGGACAAGAGTTTGAATCTCAACTGGGCCTCCAAGGAGAAAAACCAGCCTATGTGGCCTTGGGCAAACTATATGGTCCTAGGATGCCCCCAGAAGAAGGGGATGATAAACCACTTTTGAATACTCTCTACCCAGAAAACCATAAAAAGGGTTGTTGCTATAAGTCAGAATTGGCTTGATAGCACACAGTTATTAGCTGGATGGCTAGATCAGTGAGGTGGGCACCTGGTTGTGGAGCCAGAGATCAGGAGTCCAGTGATCAGTTTCCTATTCTGGTTCCCCCACACCCATCTTTTTGCAACAATAATGTTAACAAAAAAGAAGAGTACAGTGCTGTCTGCCGTTCAGCTGCAATTCAGTTGATTTCTCGGTAGACAGATACTCCTGTTTATGGTGCAATGCTATATATCCCACTGATTCTTGGTTGTGAATAAGGAAGAAATTAGGAATCCAGAGCAGTGTAACATGGTGTACCAAGTGACCTAAAGTTAAATAAAAATGAAGAAAGTGTTGGTGTCTCCCCCTTTGGTTTCAGTGGTATATCTTCCTAATTGTTAAGAGATAATGATGATGGTAAGAGGTATGTGATAGTTTTGTTTCTTTGGGAAAGAGTGAAATGTCCCCACTGTTCCCCAGAATAGAGGGCCCTGGATTTCTTGTTATGGGCATTGCTATGCCTCACAAAATACTTAAGAAAACAGAGTAGTGTTCAGAGTTATTCCTTATCTTTTCTCAGAACAAGCACTTGTATGCTATAATAATACATTTTATATCACAAGAAAAGCTAAACAAAATTCAGTTCATTAATTATATTAGCCATACTTTCCTGTTTGCCAGTATGCAAGAGATTAGTTTATTCATAATTAGATTTTTAGCACTTAATTTTTCAGAGCAACAAAATTAATTGCTCCATGATATATTAGTTATATGTGTGTATCTGAGCCATACATTCTGCATGAAACCATGCGGCGTCAAATGATTTTATTAACAAAAATGTAAAGGAGTTTTGTTTTAATTTTACACAGATAATTTCATTCAGAGGACCAAGCACAGATACAATAATCCACGCTCTCTGTCAACAAAAGTAAACCTTGCTGACATGCAGACAGAAATCAGGCTGAGGCCACCATACCAGATTTCTTCATCTGAATTAGGTTCAGCCAATGGATATCCACACATATCTCTTCCAGAATACAGAGGTGCTGAGAAAATAGCTACGGGTGAGTTTATTTTCCTTAAAATATACTATAATTGGCTTTTCTGAAGTTCAGAAACGAAGCTGTATGGTTTAAATTTTCCTGCAAATTGGAAGGGCCAAATACATACTTCTTCATTTCCGTAATTTCAGTTTAAGTGGCTGTTAANNNTAACAACAACAACAACAACAACAACAACAACAACAACAACAACAACAACAGCAGCAGCAGCAGCAGCAGCAGCAGCAGCAGCAGCAGCAGCAGCAGCAGCAGCAGCAGCAGCTTGTCCAGGTTGGGGTTATGGCCTAGGCAGGGATGGAGATTTAACCATTCATCTTCACTGGTGTCCGAGTCATATCTAAGCACCTATATTTGTTATTCACTGTGGACGAAAGGCTTCAGTTCTTCCCTTTGGAGATAGCAGATGGGGAAAAATCCATGTAAGACAGTGACAAGGGGGAAAGGGTTAAGGTGTCTTCTTCCCAAGCCTTTGCCATGGTCCTCATCCTGCTTACCCAGTCCCCAAAAACATTAATTATGTATAAATTTTTCATAAAATCTTGTCCCATCTAAGGTCTTAATAAGTGCCTTGAAGAACTTTTCATTTTTAAACCAGCCAACAAAGACTGAGATTCAACAAACTGCTAATAGATTGGAAAACCTGGCTAGTGTATATAAGCAGGATTTTGGGCTGACAGGGGAAGATTGTCAAGATTTGGGGTGTGGGAGATAGTTCTGAGACAAATCAGTCTTCTAGATTGATAGCAAAGAAACAATAGATTCCTTCACCAGCAGTGTATTTACAAACTATGTACAATGGAATGATGTACATCAGTCAACAGAGTCAATAATACACTTACAATAAATAAATGGTCTGCACTTCGTGCAGCAACTCTTCAACACCATATTCCACACAGTACCATAGTGTGTGGCACTTACATAGTTTGAATAGCCAATCACTGGGCACATCACCTGATGTCTTTCCCCAGACATTACATTATGTCCAATACACATTTCATGGATTGCATCAGCTTCGTGTGTTGACTCTGGCTGCCCACCTGTTTCAAGATGGATGCCTGTTAGTAAACTTTGGTTCATGTACTAAGTTTAAATTCTGTATTGTGAGTCATAATAGCTTGACAAAGATAAATGCACCTAGCAGTGACTGGAATCCCAGTGTTCTGTTGTGATTATCTGTAGGACTAGTGGAGAGCTTCTGGTACCCCCCCCCTTTTGAGTATGTGCCCCACTAGGAAGTAGGAAATCAGAGAACTGGTTGTACAAGAATGCATAGGATGCTTCAGACTCTTAAAGGTACAGCCACTGTACTGTCCCAGTGGGATCCTGGCCAAAATGCTTAACCTGGGTACATGAACACAGGCAGAACTGCTACAAAATTCTGCTGATCTCCAGAGAATGTAGTACTGGGTTAAAATGCTCAACTTGAACACTGAGAAGGAACAAGGATAGCTCAGTGGCTTAGCATCTGGCTGCAGAGACAGAGGTTGGGAGTTCGATTTCCCATTGTGTCTCCTTGGAAGGGGCTGGACTCATTGATCCAAAGGGTTCCTTCCCGCTCTGCAGTTTTAATATTCTAGGATCTAGGAACATGTCTCCATTTAGCCTAGTAAGTTCTAATGGAAATCGGCATATTTTTGTTAAACCCTTGTCTGTTTTGTTAATTTCACATGTAAGGTTTAGAATAGAAAGAAGCACGTTCAAAATAAATAGAAGCTGCATTTTAAAACAGTTTTCCCTCTCAGTAGCTAATTTCTAATTGCATGTTAAGCAATACACAAACTAGGTCTGGGAGAAACATGAAGGATGTTCCCTTAGAAAATTTGGAAACAGCTTTGCTCAGACAGTAGAGTACCCCTTCTTCTAGAGGAATTCCCTTTGTCACGCCTCAGCTTCCTCTGACTTTATGAACTACTTTGGCAAACCTTTTTCTGTTGCAGCTGTTGAGTGCAAACAAAGCAGAATGACACCCCCTCTCTATATTAATGTTCCAGCTCATTAACGTCATTGTTGGCACCTTTACACTTCACTGCTTTAAACAGAATGATTTAAATATGGTTCAGTAACCTTATTGTCACTCTCCCTATGTTGCCTAGACTACTGTGGATTTTGCCTTTTTTTTAAAATTCTTTTTCCCAAATTCAGTTTCTGTCACTTGTGGAATAGCACAGTAACGGCTTCAGCATACATCCACTAAAAACTGGCAGTCATTTGTTCACACTGTTGGCTCTGTAGTAGTGAAGATGAGAGTCTGCAAAACCCACCCATCCTCTTTTGCCTTTTGATTGTCATTATGATTTGTAAGAGAATGATGGCACACTGGGTGCCTTTGTCGATCAGAGGGTGAAAAAGTCACTGGTTGTAGTTTCAGGTGCTTTTCTGTGTCTGGGTACTTCTCCATGCCCCATTTAACAAATGCACCAAGGGTGGGAAGTTTATGTACATTTGATGAGGAAGAAGCCCATAAGGATCAGTTGGCCTTAAAGGTGAACAGCCTGCATGTGATCAACAATAAAGTGCTTGAGAAATGGGCCAGAAGTACTAAATATGAATATATTGGCATGCAAAGTTCACTGAAGAAATTAAATCAGGTAGAATTTGAAAAGGTGACTGCTGTCCATTTGTCTCTTCTTGAATATCAATTATAGGTGTGTTATTTTGGAACAGACCATTTAAGATGGTATTCAGTATTACTGACCACCACCTAAAATAATTAAAGCAAGCATGGTGATTATTATTTCCTTTAAATCAATTTTTAAATTAATAGCTTATGCTTTGGTTGAGAAGAAAAAGGAATATTGAGAGCTTTTTTTTGTCCAGAGTACAATTAATAAGCCAGCTAATAATTATGGGTTTAGTTTTACTGGGTAGTTTTATATTTTATTTCTTTACTGCAAAATACCGTCCTAGTACTGAGCAGCTTGAGCGTGTTAACCCTAAACTCATCTTTACTTAAGCCTCACAGGGCTTTAATTTGATCAAGATTTGTTTCTCCATATTCTGAAAAATTAAGATTTTTTTTTCATATATTCCAAATATACGTGCAGCCATATATGCAACAGCTAGTAAGCCAATCCAGGAAATGCTGGTATTTTTTTTTCCAGATGAAACAGAGGTTACATAGTTACAATGTATGGTGGAGCTTGCACTCAATAAGCTTACATGTTTTCTCATTTAAGTTATTTGCTCTTGAGCAGGAAGAAGACATTGAAAAACAGCATTAATGCTCAAAGATTAAAGAAAACATCTTTAAATATTTATAGTGTGTTCTTCTTTCTGCCTTCCAGGCCCTCATCAGCGACTGGGACCTGTGACGCTGTCTGGGATAGTTTCCTTTGTACTGAGTCTTTTATGTGGAGCTTTGAATTTAATTCGTGGTTTTCATGCCGTAGAGAGTCTTCTGCAGGTATTGTGTCATGTTGATGACTGTGTAGCTGAAGAAAGTGCAGCGATCTTTGAAGAATTACCTGTAGTTTAATTTTTCAAGTACTCTTCCGTTAACTAGCAGAATCAAAGTCCCCATTTTAATAAGGAGAACAGGATCTCTTTCCACAATGTGGGGCTTGGCAGCTGTTGCCTGCGGGCTGAGCTTAGATTTCTGAGCTATTTCTTGCCTCCCAGCATCATTGAACAGGTTGGACTGGAGTGAACAAACTTTCAGTTCCTGATGAGTTCCAGGCCTCTGCCTCTCTCTCTCTCTCCCTCTCAGTACAGCCCACATAATTGATAGTCATGTGTTTTTAGCAAAGGAGATGACCTTGTTGCTTCAGTATACTACTTTGTAATATTCCATCGAGCATATAATAATAACATTATATTGACTTGTAATCTATAAATGTCAGTGGAGTGCAATTGGGATTTCTGTCTTTCCCATAACTTTTAAAAGACTATCTGCTTTGTGCATCATTCTACTTAAGAGAAAAAACTGCCATGTCATATTTATTTATTTAAATTATCTCCCCGTTTAGTTATCTAACTGAAAGTATTTCAGAGAGGTAGCTGATAAGGTTGTGTGACTTCCTGGTCACTTAACTTTGAAATTGTACTTTATAAAACCTTAGCACCATCTAGTGGATATGCTGTAATTTACATGGTTCTTAGAGTTTTTTCACTACAGTATATGAGGGCTGTGTACAGTAGTAGATTAGTCTCATCAAAGTGGTGCTAGATGCGTATTCAGTTTTAACAGTTATCGGGTGTGTTTAAAAAAAAGATGTGAATCCTGCTCCCTTAGTTTGTTCCAAACGGTATCTCGCCCACAGTGAAACTTGCTCTGCACAAACATTTTGGGAACCAGTTTCAGTAAATACATTCTATCGGATAATTTTCATTTGTTTTTGCTAACAAAGCTCTTAATTTGTTTGTTGCATTCCCAAACATACTTTACTTTTGTTTTATTGCGTTTTTGAGCAGTATTATATAAATGTCTGGCTGCTTAGCTGCTATTAGGTCCAGTGCTTATGTTCAGTATGTACTGAATATGGACATGTTCACTTTATTTGTGCAAAAATGTGGCACAGTGGTGGTACACATCCCAATTCAGATACTATGAAAATAAATGTTGTGCAGATGGGTATCCTCCAGTCTTTGCCTTTGCTTTCTTATCCTAAGGAGGATGTCAGTGCATGGAAGATGCCTTTGTGATTGCACATCCTTTTCTGGATTCAGGGATGTGCCAAATCCAGTGGCTGGCCCTAGCTAGAGTAGACCTATTGTGTCAGTTCGATTTATATAAACATTGACTTCCCATTCAGCAGTTGAGCCAGGTTTAGCTGAGACTAGCAGTTGCATTTAGACTAAGGACTTCTGGTAGTATCAGAGAGTTTAGGGTGCAAACTGTCATGGAGAAGGTTATGAAAAAGAAATTCATAAAGTCTATTGGAACTGATTTTTGCTGAAATCTGAGCAAGACACTTTGGGGATTTCATTGTCCCTGACAGTCAACTGGAGTGATGTTTTATTTAACTCTGTTCATTATGTAAAAGCATATTTCAATAATATGGAAGACATTGATTTGAGAATGTTTTGTATGTCTTTCCCCCCCAGGATGAGAGAGAAGACTTCAGCTACATTATTGCCTTTTTTCTTGGCACAGCAGCTTGTTTATATCAGGTAGGGGATACTTCCTACATATTTGGATGATCTTCAGGAGCCTTTGTTTGTTACTGAGGCTAAACCTTATTGTGTCTGATATGAAATAAATATAACTCTATTTACTTCATTGTTTTCGAGTTGTGATGCTAATGGATAAATGGTAGCCTTTAGTTTGTTCTCACATGAAATGTTCTTGGAATGTGGCCGGTAGCCTTTAGTTTGTTCTCACATGAAATTCTTGTTCTTGGAATGTGGCTGTAACCACAGAATGACCGTTTGATTCCAGAAATTCACAGAAGCACAATGGGGCGTAACTTGATTTGACTGATCAATAAACAGGCAGTTTTTAGCAGGTTATGATTTTCTGGCATGCACAGAAATGTGGAATTTGTTTTAAGTGTTTGTTTTTAATGTAGATTGTCTTTTACATAAATGAGTCAGGAGATTCATGAAGCACTTAGATGAGGTTCCCTCTGTTTCACTGGGCGCTCACCTGTTTCACAGGCCCTCTGCCACCCAGCATAGCATTGGGAGTGTATTCAATGGGAGACAGGATAGCACTGCACATACCCATGGAAGTGGAAAGCCTGAGACATCCTTGGTGGGCAGATGCCCCCCCCCCCAGCCTTTGCTTAGGATGGCATCTCTCTATGCTGTTTATTTGAAGCAGGTAAAGACAACTTGCTAGGGGCTTCAGTGTAGCTTTGTGGGTACTGTGATACTCCAAATGCTGCTTTGAGGACCTTAGCATTAGTATACTGTATCTGGTAGGTGTAGTGTATTAACTTTGAAACAGCATATGATAAGTATTTTAGCTGTCACGTGTTTTTGTGCATTATCAGCATTTTGCCTTACTTGAGACAAAGCTAATCTAAATAGCTGATTCAGATTAGCTTTGTAAGACCAATTAGTTTCTGTTGCTCTCTTCCTAAGTAATCTTCAGTGGGTACTGAAGGAAAACATTTCACATTCTCAAAGCAACCCATGTAGTACTGTGGAACCTATTTGCTATTTTGCCTCAAGTTCAATTGCGCATGATATACAAGTTGGGTTGTATAACACCAGGAAACATCTTGTTGTGTAAAATACTCTAATGTGTTACAAGCAAAGAGCATCAAAACAGATCTATGTAGCTTCACAACATGAATAACAGGTTTATGTTCAAAACTATCTCAAAAGCAATTTCAAAAAATTGTTTAGAGTCGCAGGAATACAAATAAAACACATTTTTAAATGTATCAAGTTTCTAGCCTTGTGGGAATTGTTATTCTGCCCCTTTGCTTTCTGTTCTTTTTCCATTCAAGAATTTGGTATGGCCCCAGGAGTTATTCCTAACCCTAACAACCCTTTCTCCCCTTTTGCAGTGCTATCTGTTTGTATACTGCACAGGCTGGCGGAACATCAAATCCTTCCTAACGTTTGGCTTAATCTGCCTGTGCAATATGTATCTTTATGAACTGCGCAACCTTTGGCAGATCTTTTTTCATGTAACTGTGGGCGCTTTTTCAATGTTACAAATCCGGCTAAGGCAGCCACAAGGGAAGTCTCCTGATTACAACGTGTGATGGTTGTCCTCCGAAAGTCTCAAAGCAAGCTTTATCCAATCATTATTCCTCTCAGGAATGAACAGCTTTTCTGGAAGAGAGAAGCTCCCCATATTCAAGACATTAGTGACTCTGCAGTGCGATTTTTCCTCAAAGGAGAACCTGAAAAGGGGTTTGGGAACTAATTGGGGCTATAGCTGAAGCCCCTGTGCTAGAGAATGTACCCTAAGGACAGATGAGAAGACAGCATGAAAATCTCCACCTTCAGGATTATGGAAATGACAGAGGATCTGCACTGGACATGTTCTGTATATCAGGTGATTCCTCTAGTCTCAAGCCAGTTAGTTGGTTTTGCCTTTGTGAGGCAGTGAAAAGGATGAAATAAAGGGATGGTATTAAGAAATTATTCAGTCTGAATGAATCCCTAAATGCCAGATCATTGGATTGCACATAAATTTAATGGTGTGTGTCTGCATTCCCTTAATTAAAATGTAAACCAGAAACCATCTGTTAATCTTGGGCCCCAAAAGGCCTGCTATCTAGTGCTCAGTTATTTATAAACTTCTTTACCTTTTTTCTCTGTGTGTGTAATTTGCTTTGAAAACAGTTTTGAATTGACTTCCCCCCTGCACGCACACATATGAATATAAACATCTTCACATGTAGTTTTCAGTCATTTTATTGAACATTTAAAAAGTTAAAAAACAGTTTGCTGGTGAGAAGAATGGGGGCAATAAAAACATGAGACTTTTTCTTTTGTTCTATAATATAATGATAGAAACCTGATCCATTATAGGCCACTAACTGTCCTGATTTAGGAAAACACTTTATTTTTTAGAAATTTCAGTAGAATTGTTGTTATCATTAGATATACTGGTTTGTGTATGATAGCTCTTCAGCAGAAGATGTGAACCACCAGAGCCATGGACAGTTTTCATCAGCCAGAAGTAGAAATATGAGTATGGGTTAAAACTGACCGGTATGCTTAGCATGTTTTTAGAAGTGGTGCTCCCTCACGAAGTGAAATAAGTCTTTTTGTTATAGCACATGATTTCACGAAGTGAAATAAGTCTTTTTGTTATAGCACATCATTAAGGTATACTGCATTTAGCATTTTTTATTTCAGCCCTAAGTTCTGATTGATCATTGGAAGGCACGTGTGGGATTAATTGCCATTTTTGATCATTGTGGTCCTTATATCTGAATCCTGTTATGGAAGGGGAATGGGTAGGGGAAACATAGTTCTTCTTCATGTCTGGTTTGACCCTGTGTCTCAGGAAACAGCCATAAGCTACACACATTCCTTCTTTTTCTTGTCCTTGAAAGAACAAACAAACCATTTTGAATCCACAGTCTAAATCCAAGTTTGTTATCCAAAAAGTGACATAAACCTTTTGAAATATGTTGTCCAGATCGAGGCAAAGTTGTGTATAGTCACACTGATTTAAGTCCTATTGATTTCAGTGGGACCGCCTTAATCTAGGGCAAAACCTATATCTCACACACTCAAGAATCCTTTGTTGTTGTTTAGTTGTGTCCGACTCTTCGTGACTCCATGGATCAGAGCACGCCAGGCCCTCCTGTCTTCCACTGCCCAAGAATCCTAGAGTTGGTAAATATTGCTGGCTCCCAAGCTGTTAAGAAGACCTGGAAACAAATGCTGTTCAGTAGAGGTTGTTGGGAAAACTTTTTCGTATGCAAAATATATTCTGATTTTGAGAGGACATATTATCAGTTGTGGGGCAAATTGGTCAATGCTCTTGCCAACTTCAGACATTCTAAATCACGCATCAGCCATGAGATGTGGTAGCTTCTTTGCCAAATGTATAGTTAATTGCAATTATCTCGTTAAGAACTAGACAAGCTCAGCTGCTGAACAAGGTGGTGTTGGCTACAGTGTAAAGATGGGAAACTTAATGTTCATCCTTGCAGTAGATTATTTGCACAATTCATATCTAATAAGACATAAAATTTAACTTCTAAAAGGGATCATCTCCAAAGATGTACCGTTTCCCCGAAAATAAGACAGAGTCTTATACTGTATTAATTTTTGCTCCAAAAATGCATTAGGGCTTATTTTCAGGGGATTTTTTCATGTATAACAATCTACATTTATTCCTAAAAGGAAAATATACAGATCTTAACCCATTCTTGTAACTCTACTGATTTGATTATCCTCTTGGCTTGAATTATATCTCTAATATGCAGTTGAAGTGAAGAAGATGATGTTTGGTTTTAATATACATTCCAGGCAGTTTTTTTCCCCGTCTCATAGTTCTTTGCCCTCACTTGGGCTATGCTAAGAGGTTTGTACCTACACACTTGACAAACAATGCAGAACTCCTGCCCTGCCCTACTTGAACTGCATGATGTACACACATGTTGTATGTTGTTATGACACTGCAGAGGAAATGTTTGAAATAATGCCGAGATATTTATTACATAACCAGTACTAGCAAAAATTTTGACCTGTTCACGAATCATATGAAAGGCATCCCAGAATCTTTTAAAAAACAAACAGAAATCCAGCACTGGGTTGGACCTGTTCACGAATCATATGAAAGGCATCCCAGAATCTTTTAAAAAACAAACAAACAGAAACCCAGCACTGGGTTGGATAGTGACCCGATTCTCAAGGTTGTGTTTAGTGCTTCCTGTCTGTGTCAACAGCTGTGTATAATAACTATGCCCCCCCTCAATGAGGTTGGTGTCATTGAAGGCATGTAACATAAATTGATGGTTTAGAGCTGTAAACAAATATGTGTGGAAACAGTTAGGCGTAATAGATGCACTTTTGTAAGTGGTCAACAAAAGCTGACCAAGACTTCTGAAATGATAGTCATTGCAACCAACGGGTATTTATCCATGTGTTTTCTAAGTAGAAACCTGTAACAATATCCCTTTTGTGTTACCATAGCCCACTCTCTGAGCCTGGAACAAGGCATTACAGTGGACCCTTGACTTACAGACGGCTTGACTTACAGACTTTTTGAGTTACAGACTTCTCTGGCCGCAAAATTTAGATTTGACTTGCAGCCGGAGAATCGACCTACAGACTAGAAAAAAACCCAAAATGGAACAAAAATGGCCTGTTACGGGATTAATCGGTTTTCAATGCACTGTAGCTCAATGGAGACTTGACCTACAGACTTTTTGACCTGCAGCCACCGTTCCAATACGGATTAATTCTGTAAGTCAAGGGTCCACTGTACTGCCTGGACTGTATTTTCCCTGCCTTCCCTGAACCTTTCTTGACCTAAGAAAAAAAGAAACAAAATATCCCCCTCTAGTGGTTGAAGGAGGAATAGCAGCTTCCCATTAATTTCTATGGACGGAAAAGAGCAGATACAGATCAAATGGTTTTCAATGCATTCCTATGAGAAATGCAGATTTGACCTGAGAACTTTCTGACTTGAGAACTGCCTTTCAATACGGATTGAGTTCTCAAGTCAAGACCCCACTGTATAAGATATACTGTTTATTATTCTGCAGCACAAATACATGTTTGCATCTTGGGATTGTTGTTAAAACTGGTACCAATGTATTTGAGGCAAGCTGCAGAACCCTGCTTTAGTTACAACCTAGGCCTCAGCCATGCCCAGTGGAGTTAGTTTTATTCTCCTGTCTCCTGCTGCTGAAGAAATGACAGCCTCACTTTTCACTGTGCAACCCCCCCCCATGGGTTTCCAAAGCAGCTTGCCACATGGGCCCTGGGGAGGGAGGCTGTTGTTCATGAGGTGCAGAGGTACGTGCACTACACCTTTGCCAAAAGCTCCTGTTATCCAGCAAGTATTTGCATTTTCTTATGGATTTCACAAATGTGGCTTACAGCTGTGTCTCATTTGCTATGCAGTATCGCAGGCAAATAAGCCAGAGATAAAAAGTTACAGCATTTTGTTGAAGGATAACCAAATAGCATGATAAAACAGCTTCTTGGATAGGCAAGTCTCATTAAATCAACTATATATAGTTGATTTCATAACTATATAACTATATAATAGTAGTAAATTTATTACGGTCAAAGACCAGTAAAACCAGAACAATACAAAATAAAATACAAATAATTGTAGTTTCGTAAATTGTAGTTCTGTAGTTTTGTAAAATTAGGCAGAATTATAAATTTTCCATATATAGACTATAACAGTGATTTTGATGGACTGTGGTCCAACCTGAGGAAAATCTGCTTTCGATTGCCTTACCTGTCAACTGACTTGAAGCCTTGGGCATCAGTATGGAATACTGAAGGGTTCCATTCCGTTAAGTGGGAAGACTTTGTGTAAAGTGATTCAGTAAAAGCTGTGCTTTGCAGTTATTCCCATAATTTTGAATTTCAAGCAGTCTGTATTTTTGGTGAGTTCATAGTTAGCGATCAGCTAACATCCATAGCATTAGCCCTTTTAAAAGAGGAGGTGGCTGTGCTGTTTCTACATCTGATTTGAAATTATGTTGTTGTTTTTTAAAAAATGGATGCATTTCCTCTTAGCCTGTTTTAAATGCCTCTTTTCCTAGTAGGTGCTGCTTTTTTTCCCCATTTACTGACACATACTGAGATTATTATTGTTATCTCAGAATCAGTAGCAAGGGGCACTTTGTGCTGCATCATCTTAACAGAGTTCAGCATAGAGAAGATGAGTCATTAGATGAGGGTTTTTCCCCCTTCTGTACTGTTTAACCAGCAGCTGCCTATCTCCAGCTGCTGTATTTAAAAAAAAACACAAAACACTTAAATTAGTAGAGGTAACTAATTTCGTTCAGAAGAGCTTCCAAAGAATCTGAAATATAGAAAATCATAAGCCTATGCAGGTGCTCAGAAAAGTGTGAGCAGTGTTAAATTGTGAATCTGAACAGTTAATCTGTTAAAGTGTTAATCTGAACATATGAGCAGCAAGGGGGTCCTCGTTCTCTTGTCAAAAGCACAGAGGAGCTTTGTGTGTAACAGGGGCTTTCCTCTTCAAGCAGTCTCCTGTGAGGACAGCGAATGAGTAGGGGCTAGGGCTAGAACTTACTGTCTGCTTCTGCATTACGTTAATCCTTTTGTGAACAACTGAATAGTGTGAAAATGACAAATAGAAAAAAGAGAGATACCATGTCAACCAGGAAGATGTATGTGCATAGGGCATAGTCTCCTATATGTGCACAATGAGACGGTAAAGTGTGTCTGCATGCAGCCCCAATCAGTACATTCATAAAAATCTCATCAAATTACCTGGATTTGCCATTTAGTGCTGGTTGAACTGCTCTTGGATACAATTAGGACAGCTAGTTCTGTTAAGGAATTAATGGAATGTTAATAGGAACACAGGCTCCTGCTTTTATCCTCTGTCGTCATTCAGTTTCCTATATTAAAAAAGCTAAACTAAACTTTGACAAGAATGAAAACCTTCCATTGATTGCTTCATTTTCCAGTGCTTTTCATGATATTGAGATCTAATGGCTGAGACTAATGGCCACCTTCATCTGTATATTTTTCCACTCCTCTAGCAACAGTCTTCTGTACAATCACAAAGAAGCGGACAGACACATCCTATGAGGAAGTTGTTTGTCTCATCTTTCTGTGCTCCGACAGTATCCAGCTATACATCTATGAACAGTTACAATTATTGAGACAAATTACAGTATAGAAGTCCAAAGAGCTACTATTATTGCATTGATGATCCTGAAATATATTTGGGAGGTCACTCCAACCACTGAATATTAAATGATACTTTATTCTGCAACATTATTTCTGATCTTTTACGAGCCAGATTCTAACAGGGAAAAATGGACAGATTCACAAGTGAAACAGTGTTTAATATAGTTGTTAAATTACTTAAACAGATTGAAATTTCCATGGGAAATCATAACTGTATCAATTTTTGCAAGAGCCAGAATAAAGAGTGCATACCCCTTGAAATGATCATGACACAGTCAACAATCACAGTCAGAGATACAGGCGACTGAAAATTTCATTGACAACACAATCGCGCAAGGTGGTTTGCTCAAATGTTAAGAACGCACACTTCAAAGCAGGAGGCAAAACTAAAACAAAATGATCCTATGTTATTGTGCTGTTAATTAAAATTTGGAAGTGGTAAATGGCAGCAAAAACAAAGGATGGAAGGTGATGGAGAACAAGCTGCAATACTGTGTAAATAAAACCTTTGCAAATAAATGGGAATTTTTCTTCAGAAGTTCAAAATATAGTACAAGGACAGACTTGGCAGTTTTCTAAAAGTCTGGCTACTACACTGTTCCAGGATGTACCCTAGCGGAAAGGAAGAAGACAGTAAGAAAGTAGGATGGTACTGAAGCTCTAGTTCAAAGTAGCTTAATGTAAGAACTGTGTTAAACAGGATGACAAATTCACCAGCAGCATCATTCTTAATTTCCTGGTCAAAGAGAAGCCTCAGCCCCAATGTCATAATTGCCAGCAATGGGCAATCATTAGATTATGAAAACTATAGAAATTCTGCCCTGAGAAGAGTGAAAAACAAATAGCAAAATGTTGGACGTCGTTTTTGAGATAGCCAAATTGAGTATCAAAAGTCTTCACCTACTGACATATAAAAATATAGGCATTTTATGCTTTTATAGTTACTGATAAAATATGAAGGGGACGGTCTTTAAAAATTCAAAATGTATTTCATTCAGTCATACATCTGTTAACAAATTCTGTCTTTTTCAACCTTAATACCCCCGTGATTTTTTGTTTTGTTTTTTAATTGTGGCATGAATGCCATCTTAGCTGCAGAGGATGAAATCAATACAATTTGTTTATTGAATCTTCAAACTGCAATCCATAATAAATGTGAATAAATGAATTCACATCCTGCCACTTCAATCCGAGACAGCAAAAATCCAAGGCCATCTATAGGACTTATGCATACAGTTATTATATAAATTGTAAACGTTCACATCCTTTTGAAAAAGAAATGCTTGATTTCATTTTTTCCTGTTCCAGATACACACTCCATGCGGCTCTTGTGGTAGTATTCCTGACAAATAAAAATTCAGAATTGTGAGCACACTTTTTTTTACACTCATCTCCTTCCAACAATCAGAATTAAATGTAGCTGGGCTATCTCTTGATACTCCTAGTCTGCTTTATTGTGGTTTCACACACTTCATTAAAGACAGTTCAACCTAGCATTCCCTTCTCCTATCATGTTTTTGTTTGTTTGTTTACTTGTGTCCTGGGCTGTACAGTGTTTGTCTGAAAACTGCCAAGTCTGCAACTCAGAAAATAATGAAAATAATGTCACACAACTCTATAGCCTATGTACACCTCCCACCACCGCTTTGTGTGCACTGCTCTGCCCAGCCCTCATCCAGAGAAAGGAGAGCACAGCAGATAGCTTCACACACCCACTGCTGGATTAAGGGAGACCTGAGAGCTGAAGGGCAGAAACAACTCATAGCCCTGAGCAACTCTCAAATAGGGAACCAGAAAGGGAGAGGTTTCAATGCAGCTTAGGTGCCCCCCTTTCCACTCTTCTGAATACTGGTGAACAACACATGTGTGCTGCTACATGTGCATCAAATGTTCGGGGTGCAGGCTAGAGCCCTATTGTTTCTGTTTCTGCCCTGTCTTGACAGCCGACACGCTGTGCTAGGTGCTGGGCATTCAATTGGATTGCTGAATGTGTCCACCCACCCACCCAACCCCAAACCTGGCACCTTCACACAGTGGTTTGGTGCACACCCACCCACACTATAGCTGATCCACATGTGAATCATTGTTGCTCAAGTAGGGTGAGTGTTTAACTCAATAATTTTCAAAATATAGAATTTCGGAATATTTGTTAGACCTTGGTATCTTCCATATTACAAAATACAAAACCCCCAAAACAAACCCCCAAACCAACAATCCCACATGTGTCAGAGGACTCTCTCTGCCTAAGTGTTTCATGTTGACAGCTAGTCATTCATATATGTAAACAGATATGCACCAAACAGGAGCGGGAAGGCCTTTTCATTTAATAAATACGTTTGAAAAAGTCTTTTCTCGCCTCAAGCAGTGTTTCTTTTTCCTTTCAAAATAGCAGTCCTGGTAAACCTCATATCTGTATAAGGATAGGGATGGCAAGAGTACATAAGAAGGCATATTTTTCCCCATCTAAAAACTTTACTGATGGTTTCATTAGAAAAAGGCCCTTTGTACAGAGCAGCAGTGGGCGGCATTCCTAACTTTGACAGCCCACTCACACGGCTAATAAAAGAACAGCAGCACTCGTCAAGTTGCTTGACAGCACAAGTCAGGAATAGTATGGGAATGCACACACTTCCCCAAGTATTGTTGCTCTGGTTCCTTGTTTCTGCTGTAACGAATCATACTTTCCTTCAATTTAAAAAACAAAAACAAAAACACAACACATTGTGTTATCTCAAATAAATAGTTAAATATCTGAAGTTCTGTGTAGCAGCCTTTTTGAAGATCTCAATTCCACGTATTCATCTCCAAACTCCGTTAAGCATAAATCTTTGGTCAATTCATTGACGATCAACTTAGGCGGGAAAAATCCACAGCAGAGCCAGGTAACTTCTGAATTATGTGTTATGTAGCCCGAACTGTCTTTACTCTTTTCTCTCTTGCACACAATCCTGCTATACGAGACATCTCATGAAATACTCAGCCATGTCTTGGTATTAAGATTTGCTGCCAAGCAGCAGATTTTTCTCCAACTTACTACTGTGTTTGAATGAAACTGAGCCATCCTCGAGTCTTCCTTGCCTGCTGCTGCTGCTGCTAACTTGCTGGTGGACCTTCATTTAGGAAGTAGGTAGTCATTTCTCCTTTGCCTTTGACCTTAACAACCCCTCGGCATTCTAGTTTATAGTTGTTGACACTTAGAACCTGATACATATCTGTGGTCACCTGGGAATGAGTCAAAAGGAAGAATGAATTGCATCAAACCACACTGCTGCTTTGGTAACAATCAGAGTGGCCACATAGAAATAAAGGGAGTCTGGGATTGTTCCAAACCAGAGGCCTGAAAGCCAGGAGGGCCATAACCATGATTCCTGCCAGAACAAGTCCATACAATTAATAAATATAACCATGACGGGGATGTAGGGATGCACAGACACCCATTTTCACCTTGCCCAATGTCAGATAGACCTTTCCCAGTCCAGTCTGTATGGGTGCTTGCAAAAACACTCAGGTGGATGTCCCGGCAGCTCTTCTGCGATGGGAGGACTAGGGTGTTGTATGAACATCCAAAGAAACACATTTACTGTAGCCTCTTTAGACCTTCACTTTGTAAATGTCTAACTGGCATTTGGGCAGGGGAAGTGCATCTTCCTGGCTTCCCTTTGCTTACAGTCCTCCCTGCTTTCAGGATCGAATAATGCCTGAATAGAGTTAATATCAAACCCTTCCATAACGTTCACATGTCCAGGTAGCCAGGTAGTCACAAAAAGACAAGAGCAGATTCGGAGCCTTAGATGGAAACAAGGTTGGTACCTGATCCTTCGCATGTCTGTGAATGTTCTGTGCTGTCAAGTTGGAACCGACTTATAGCGACTCTAATAGGGCTTTCAATGTAGGTAAGATATTTAAGGAGTGGCTTTACCAGTTCCACTCCCCTAGTGAGTTTCCATGTCCAAGTGGGGAATTTGAACCCTGTTCTCCAGAGTCCTAGTACATCACTCTTTCCACTACACCATACTGGGAATCCCTTGCATACTTAGAGGCAAATCCTGCTGTATTTATCTCCAGGCACAGGTACTAAGGACTGCAGTATAAATACAAAGTCACCATACAAAGAAACAGATGCTGAGGAAGTGTTCTGTTCTAGATGGCTTATATTCTCTGTGGCATATGCGCAGATACACAAAGAGGCCTCTTAAATGTACTCTGCCAGGTCCTTTCTAATTCACCTTAACCTGACTTCATGCAGCAGCCCTTACTTTCTTCACCACAGAAGGCACAGGCAGGCTGTGATTCAAGCAGAGGGCAGGACTCGTCCCACAGTGGCAGGATGGAGCATTCCCTTTGTTCCCTGCTCAGATCACAGGGCAGCCACTCAGAAAGAAATGGGAAAATCATGTAATTTGTAAAGCACCAAAGGAATGCAAGTTTATTTTGCTCTACAACTACCCAGAAAAAAGAAGCAGACTTCGCAGTGTTGATGCTTGATTATGTTTCCCCTTGAATGTGGTCGTGACTATTTCTTGCTTACTTTTACCAGTGGCTTCTGTTGTTCTTTCGATTTATATACCATCTCATAGTGCTAGGGCACTCTGGGCAGCTTACAACTTAATCATGCAAGCAACACTTTTCACCGCCACCCCCGCGGTGAGCTGAGTACTCATTTTACCAACCTTGGAAGGAAAGCTGAGTCAACTTTCAGCCGTCTACCTGAACTTGGGATCAAATTCTGGTTGTGAGCAGAAGCTTCACTGCAGTACTGCAATTTAACTACTCTGCCATAGGGCCTGCAGTACTGCAGTTTAACTACTCTGCCATAGGGTTGTGGATGTTTATAAGAATTCTGGAAGATTGGGGTGGGGAGATAGAGGTGTTAGGAAGACTCACCTGAATTCTGTCGGGCACTCCTGTGCTGTCCATTCGGCTGGCTACATTCACAGTGTTCCCCCAAATATCATACTGGGGCTTACGTGCCCCTATAACCCCAGCTACTACTGGACCAATATTGAGCCCTGGAAGAGAAATGGCAGTGGTGAACTGACTCTGATTTTTTCCCTCCTTTATACAATCACATCTGGACAGGGGACGGCAACCATGGAAGTGATCCCTCAGGGCTGAACTGGCTAGGCTTTCATTCGGAATTGCTCCCTTGCAAAACCTTTGAAGCTAAGTGAGAAAAATGGGTCATGTGCTAGAAAGCCTTGTATAGTTTGCATATGTGGCTCAAAATAATTTATGTAATATATAATACGCAGGATGGCAGATTGTTGCATTGGCCTCACAAAAATTATATTCTGAAATGGTTTATAAAATAGGAAAGTGTCATTTGTTTTTATAAAAAGGCAGCTTTGATATTTGGACTTAAAGTGATTTTTAAAAAAAAAAACACGCCATAAAAGTACAATTCTGTTCCATTTCTTTCAATTGAAGCATTGAGCATTTAATATTTGTCTCATTGAAATAAATGTGATTGCACAGCAATCCTAGAGATGTCTACTCGCATTCAATCCACACCAGGCTTGAACAGTCCATTCCTGGGTAAAGTAGTACAATACTGCAATGCTTTTTCATTTATTTATTTTTTAATTCTTAATTTAAATTTTTTTTTTTTTTACAATACTGCAATGCTTTTTCATTTATTTTGTAATTCTTAATTTAAATTTTTTTTTTTGCTCTGGTGCAAAATGATAACCTTTTTTTAACAATACAAGAACAGCTGTTCTCCCAAGAAAACTAAGTAGCAGCGGCAGTAAGCCATGGAAGGGCGGAGACTGATGCGGAAAAGCATTCCTAAGGAAACATCATCAAATGACACCCACCCACAAAGTGGGTCAGCACCCATCAACACAAAGCAGAGTGTGCTGCTTAGATACTGCTCCATAGCACTACAAGCACTCTCTGGGCAGTTTACAGTTTAATTATGCAGGCGACACATTGCCCTCCCAGCAAGCTGGGTACTCAGAAGGATGGAAGGCTGAGTGAGCCTTGAGCTGGCTACCTAGGACTGAACCCAGGTCATGAGCAGAATTTTGGCTGCAGTACTGCAGTTTAACCAATGCACCACGAGGCCTCTTGTGACACAGTGCTCGGGTCTGCAACAGCAGATCTTGTACTGGATCAAATTGGATCAAAACAGAACAAAATGCACCATTACCTGGCATATAAAAAACACTGGAAAGCAAGATTTTTTTTAAAAAAAAATGGTCCTACTTTAGCTCTGCACCTAGTTTCAACCTTGTGTTATGTGGACAGCAGGATGTAGAAAGAGTATGAGAGCATGGAAGATTGATGGGCCGTGGGAGTAAGATTTCCTGGGACCACAGGCTTGCACTGGAAGCCCCAATAAATGTAGTTTTTCCTCTAAATAAACATGCATAGGATTGCAAACTTACATTAGCACATAACCTAGTCAAAACATGATGGACAAAATGCAAGCAAAATGAAAAATGCAAGTGAAAGGAAGCCTAAGGATAGTCTTCTTTTAAGTTGCTATCTATCTATCTATCTATCTATCTATCTATCTATCTATCTATCTATCTAATCTAAAAGAGAGACAGATTTTAGGTGTCTCCCAGGCAGGCTCATAGAGGGAGATACAATCTTTTAGACAGCTGGGACCCAAGACGGTATCTCCCTCTCTGAGCCTGCCTGGGCATTAAGATCATCAGAAGAGGTCTTTATCTCAGCCCCACTATTATCACTGGCATGCTTGGTGGGGTCACGGGAGAGGGCCTTCTCTGTTGCTGCCCCCAGACTTTGAAACTCCCTCCCATGGGAAGCTAGGCTGAGTTCAGTTCTCCACAGGAACAAAAATGACATTCTCAAAACATGCAGCATATGTGTGACCCTGTTTTTGGAACCAAAGAGAAAGCAGTTCTGACAGCAGTTCTCCACTATAGCCTACGGAAATTTTTCTGGCTCCCTCGCTGGGCATTTTTAAAAGTCATTTAAAAACCTGGCTCTTTAGGCAGGTCTTCCCTCCAGTCAATTAACTCTTTTTCTGTTTCTTTAATTTACCCCATCTTGGTAATGTATATAGAAATTTTGTAGGATTTTATTATGTATGTCTATTGTTATGTTTTATCTATGTAAGCCGACCCGAGTAGACTTTGTCTAGGGGGCGGGGTATAAATTTAATAAAAGTAAAAAGTAAAGTAAGTAATAAAAAGTACTAATATGGTAAGAAAAGACCATGTTTCTTCTTTGGCTTGCAACCTTTCCAGTGTCAATATTGCTACCTATTTATCTGCAAGTGATAACATTATGTACCGGGGTCAGCCTTCTGAATAAAAGAGTACCAGTGCTGCCAAGTGACTATATACTAAGAGCACTGTCCTTTTCAACTATTCTGCATTCAGGAGATGTAGCACCAATTAATGTGTGGCATTTACACCCTTAAACATACAGCACAGCCAGACTGGATGAAATTCAGGAGCCCCAACGTCAACGATGATCTTTACCTATTTTCATCTGGAAGTTGTTGAAGGAGTGCTCATTGATGTACTTCATTTGATCCATCAACCTCATCGCAAAGTCAGCCAGGGCCTTGATATGAGTTTTGCCCACTTTATCATAAGTGGAATCATTAAGGCCAGAAGCAGCCATGTATGTGCTACCGATCGTCTTGATCTTCTCCAGCTGCCGGAACTGATCCTCGCTGATGATCTTAAAAGCCAAAAAAGGAAAAAAATTAGCGAAAAGCACACCATAAACCATGACAAGTTTTATGACTGAGGGAAGGGGAGAACCATTTGAATGTTGTTTTTAAAATTCCTGTGTCAAAACAACTGTTTTGAATCCTGGACACTATTTGCTAGTTTATCTCAGCGAGGTAAAATATTGGGCTGGCCTTGCTTATGGTTGTGTGCAAGCTGACTGGCTTAGGACCAATGATGCTGAACATCATATGGGATGGAGATAATCTTCCTTAAATGTCTTTCCATGGTGTTTTCACTGGTTGCATATGGACAAGGCAATGCAGGCAACAGGATAGTCAAGAGAACCATGAAATTAGTTCAATCAGCCACAGCAGGCTTGCAAAGCAAATAGCTTTTGGGACCACAAGCCACATACATGAATTAAGAGTCTCTTTAGGGTTCACGCTCAGCAGCACTTTTGAGTTGATCTATAGTTGCAGCAGAAAACAAACAAATATGTACTTCAGTTGTTACCTCTAATGTATAAAGGAAATTTAAGACAGAGATATTCAGTGGTGTGAGAGCACGGATACAACATTAAGAGTAAGACTATGAAGTAAGACAGAGATATTCAGTGGTGTGAGAGCCGGGATACAACATTAAGACTATGAACCATGGTGCAAGCCAGTTTCAATTCCACTCCATTTTCATTTGTTTGTAATGTTTATATCCAAGACTTCTTGAGACAATCACACAGACTGGTCCAGGGTCATTTAATGAGGTTTATAAGATTTGACCCTGCATTCTGCAAGTCCTCATCCAGCGTGCTCATCACTGCACTTCATCAAATTTGGCAATGATTGCTCACCTCATCAAAGTCGGCAATGATTTCGTTAAGGAGCCTCAAGCATTCCACCCCTTCATTGTTGGCTTCTAGCTCTACATAAAATTCTGAGAAGTTGCTGATGGAAGCAAACATGACAGCCACACACTCGCAAGACTGGTAATACAGTTCATCATTCCTTCGCTCCTGTGCAAGAAAGTGGGCTGCCACATCCTTCGGCAAGATGTTATGGAGGAGCCGCCTGTTGTAGGCCTGCAGTTCCTCCATCTCCTCCTTTTCTTCAGTAGCCTGGAGATGGGGGTTAGGAAGAGTGAGAGACAGACAAAGATGGGGTTGTAGGCCAGGCTTGTTTATGTGGGAAATGGGTGAGAAATAAATACAAGTTTTAAGATGCCAGCAGAGTCATAAAGCCTGATTTTAAGAATGTTTGGAAGGCCTAAGGCCTAAACGTGGGTCGACCTTTGCAAGGATTTTCAGCAAATACTTTCCCCTCTGCAAGATTTTTTAAAGTCACATTTTGTGAAATCATTGGCAAGTTTTCCAAAATTATCCTCATTTGTCCTCCCACAGTCACAGCAAAGCTACTTCATTCTGATCTTATGCACAGGTGTTCGGTAACATCAGCACATCAGTCTTGTCACAACATTCTGTTCTATAAGAACAGAAAAGAGTCTTGCCAAGGACTAATAAATTTTAGCTGGCAGATGTTTTCATGGAACTGCAGCCCAGGAACATTAGTCTTTAAGGCAGTGGTAGACCCTCAGTGCTAAAGTCCAGCAGAACAGCCTTTAAAATTGGCACATTGCACCCCACAAGGCTTTGGGATTGGGCCGTTTGCCATTTTTCTGATAATCCAAATATAAATTTTGGACTTTGTCTAGGGCTTCTGATGTTTGAGGTTTCCTGTTTTAAGACTATATTGAAAATTCTTTCTAAAATTGATCCCCGAGACAAACTCAAAACTTAAACAGAAGTCTACCACAACATTCAAAACCTGCCTCAGCTGAATCATTGTAGAATTTTTATTTATCTACTTATACAATCTATAGTATTGATACATTACTTTTCTCACAAGTGTTTTCAACGCAGTTAGCCCATCCTTCATCCAAAAATTCACCTGCTAACCACTCAAACATACGATAACCCCTTTACAGCTCGTAGGTCCTTGTAAAGTATTTCTCATCCTCAGATGGAACGGGATGCCAAGAGGTTTCTTTTATGCCAGTGCTTTAATTTACAGGCACAGAATGGTAGCGCAGTACCAGCTTGAGCAGCAGCCATTGGCTGATTATGAAATGCCACTCTCATTAATATTCAGAAGTGCACACCTGAAGCTTCCAAAGGAAATCAAGCCTGGCTGTAGATTCCACCTGCTGAGCATGTAGATATACCGCCAGGACAAACACGGTGATAACGACGGGAGTCACAATCTTCAGGGCCACCCGGGGCACAGTTGGAGGACTTTGGAAGAAAAGGAAACACACCCACCTATGAATATTCTAGGATAGCAACCATTCAACTGGAGCAGTACATGCAAAACATGGCAACTCAATGCAACACAGCTTCTCAACTGGCTGAACTACCACCAGGTATGGCAAAGGGGACAATTCACCAAGCATCTAATCCTACCATGTTTGCTCCAAAATAAGACAGGGTCTTGTATTAATTTTTGCTCCAAAAATGCATTAGGGCGTATTTTCAGGGGCATTTTATTTTATTTTATTTTTTCCCCATGTACAACAATCTACATCTATTCAAATACAGTCATGTCATCTTCTTCTGGTTGCTGCACAATGGTGGAGGGTGGGGTTTCACTTAACTGGGTCTTATTTTTGGGGTAGGGCTTATATTACGAGCGTCCTGAAAAATCATACTAGGACTTATTTTTAGGTTAGGTGTTATTTTTGGGAAAACAGTATGCAGCTCCCTAAAATATTTAATTATCATCTGGTTTTTTTACCCCACTTGATCCACCACAAACATTGAAGTCCGAGTGTGCAGATTCAACTTCATTTACGAATAATGTCTCTTTTCTGTGCTTCAGGTAAAGGAAGATGCGCTGAATCAGAAATTCCTCAGGAAGGACGAATCAAGAAAAAGGGCCAGTGTAATATTACTGCATTTAATTTATCTTCCACAGTAAAGGAAACGAGATGGGGACCAAATTCTGTCCTACTTCACCCTCTCTCCTCTTGTCTGAACTGAGGTCCAATTCCTTCTACCCAATTTGACTGTACACTTTTAAAATTGTATTTTGTATATTTTAGCCACATAATATGTTTTATGAATTGTTTGTATATTTTTAAATTGCATTTTGTATATTTTAGCCATAAATATGTTTTATGAGCTGGTCACCTGGCCGTAATAAATAAATTCAAATTCAATTCTACCCAATTAAGAGTTAAGGCATCGCTGCCACTAACTATGGCTAACACTGACCAGTGTTTGAAACAAGTTGCCAACCCTACTTCAGCTGGAATCCTAGGGAGCCTTAGCCATAGACAGGAGTGGAAGGTGATGGTGATGGGATGGCCGTGTGTAAGAAGAAAGGAATGAGGGAGGCTCATCCTAAACCCTTCAACCATAGTTAAGTAAAAAGCAATATTATATCTGCAGAAATCACAATCATCAATAGCACAAACATCTAATCCATACTTTAAAAGACAACTTTAGAGTGTACTCTACAAACCCAGTCCCTGTAACTTACCATATTATATTTCCTGTCCAATTGGAAAACACACTGAAACAACAAAGAGAGAGAAGTTTAGGCACTTTGTATCATTTCCTTTGCCATCTTTTTATGACACTGGCCTTTGCTCTGTCTTACTAGTCTTGCATTTAATTTTTTTTACCGTACTCCTTGCTACACTAAGAGTATAAGTTGTGAGCCAGGAAGGTCCCGGTTCAGATCTCATTCATTACAGTCCCTGAGCAAATTAGTGTCTGTCAGACCACCATCAGCAATATTAAGAGTAATGGCCTCGAAGGTGAAAGTGTAACCAAAAAAGGAGTACTAAGGCAAATGAATAAAGCCCGAGAAATCATAAAACACATCAGATGCAGAAAGCTAGAATGCTTCTCATAATGAGAAATGAAAAGTCCAGATTCTTACAGCTGATTTATGCAAGGGAAAACAAATGGAAAAAGTGCAAGGAAGAGAACTTTGTCTTGAGTGAGGAATCTGGATGACCATTCAGAGCTGCTGGAGTCTGAGCCCATCAGAAGCATAATATGAACCATTACCATGATTAGTAGCAGCATTAGCAGTGTTCTTCACTGATGAAGTTGTCTTTTCTTCTTGTGTCAAATAATCTGTGTTTTTCCCCATCGAATAGGCAACTGTGCACTTTACGGTAAACAAAGTATGCATGTACTACATGTGTGTCAATGGGAGAGAAGACCCAATACAAGCCTGCTCTGGATTATGTGCATGATTGTTGACCAATGTTCACACCAATGAAACTAAGAAGGGAGATATTTCATAGCTCTGGGTACGCACTGTCCTAAAATGCAAGGTGGATTGAAGCAGAAGGAAGGATCCTTTATGTTATGACACACTGAAAAGTCAAGCCTACAAACATGTCCTGATGATTTTAATGAAACTCATTTTCAAGTACAGGCAAGTTTATGGCTTTAAGAAACTTGAAGAAAGTGTGCTTCCTTGGTGAGCATTAGCCACAGTTAATAGTTCAAGCACTGCCTATTTCCAGGGCCTCTTTTTCTGGCATGGGCATCTCTGTTCAATCCACAAAGTGGGCATGACACAGCCAAGTGGGCTATATTGTTCTTTCTCCTTCCTGGCTGCTACTGTTTATCACATACCACTTCTCCTGACATTCTGAAGTGGGTGCTTCTCAGCCTCGTTTCAGAACACGTGTGTGTGTGTGTGTGTGTGTGTGTGTGTGTGTGTGTGTGTGTGTGTGTCTGTGTCTGTGTGTGTGTCTGTGTGTGTGTCTGTGTCTGTGTGGGTAGAGAGAGAGAGAGAGAAAGAGAGGGAGGGAGGGAGAGGATGTCTGCATGCTTATGCATGCATATGTTTCCCCACATTACAGGGCAGGTGGACTGTAGCCCGAAAGAGAGAGAGAGGGAGGGAGGGAGAGGATGTGTGCATGCTTATGTTTCCCCACGTTACAGGGCAGGTGGACTGTAGCGTTAATTCCACATAAACCGGACTGTACAACTAGACTGTCAATCTGACATCTTCTGGTCAAGTTCACAGCCCAAGTAGTAAGTTGGGTTGCTTGGTCTTTATAGTGACTTTCAGTTTTTCTCCCTGATTTTTCTGGTCATGAATTTCAGTACATTTTCAACCTTTCCTCCAAACCTTTGAGGGCTCTCTAATTCACTGCTTCCAAATGCTGTTTCTTCCAAGGGAGAAGGGACTCTGGCAGTTTCAATTAATAAGACTGCCATATTCCCTTCATCCTTTGAAGAAACAGCATTTCATGTTGTTGCTTTTGCTGCTGTTGCTAATGTCCTGGTACAATTTTGCAGCACTCCTGTTCTAGGAGTTACATTTTGAAATGCAGGAAAAATCTAATTGTCAGTCAGAGGACCACACTTTTATAATACTCTCTATATACATTTACATAGAAATAAGCATTGACGTTTCCAGTGGGATTTATTGCTGCATTATAAGCAAAGAACAGCAATGGGATGAGGGAGAGCAGGACTTTATTAGCCTGGCACAACATTTTGCTTTCAAAAATGCAGAGAAGGCAAAGAGGGAAAAATATCTCGGAGACATAATTCAGCTTTCCAGGAATGACATCACCCTCTGCCACAAAAAATGGTATATTTTCCTGTCTATGTCTATTACAAAATGGTACAGCTTTTCTTCTTTCTTCCTGCTTACTGGACTTATGGTTAAAAAATCCTCACACAGTCTCATAACATTAGTGCAGTAGTGGGAAAAACCCAGTTTGATTGCAAACAAATACCAGTTCTGTCTGAACACCCTGCAACATTTCACAAAGGAGGCACAGCGTTTGCATAGCGAAAGCCTGTACATGTTGAAGCCTCTACATTCCACCAAATGCAACATTCCCTGCATTTAAATATCAAGGCATCTTGGACCCGGGAAGGATAACGTGCAACTGCTCCACCAGATTATTGCTTCATTTTTTCGTTTTGAACACTATGTGGCACTATAACCACTTCCAACAAATTCATCCTATTGTTGAGGACCAGTTGATTTCTGCCCTTGAGTTGAAATTTTTTTTTTTTGAAGCAAGAATGTGATTGCTGGTGAGTGAAAAATACTTTCAGAAAATATATCATAATTTTGTGCTAGTGAGTGAAAAATACTCTAGGAAAGCTACTGGGCAAGGTGCAGTAAACTGGTGCTGCCCAGACAAACCAAGGGAAGAGTGCTGGTGGTATAAAACTCCTGAGGACATATACGAGGGTCAAGTGTGGCCCTCCTGGTGTTGTTGGGCTTCACCCTGTGCCACCCTGACTAGCGCAGAAAAAAGTGAGGAATGCTTGGAGTTGCATTGGGAGGGCTACACCTTGCCCAATCCCTGTCCAACTAAGCAGTGGGCAAAACTGATTAGATATTTAGTAGGTGAAAGCTCTCTCTCCCTCTTACTTTCTCACTCACTCATTCCTACTGCTGAACTGGAAATCACAGTCTTAGAATTTTTATTTAATTTATTTAAAACATTTTGACCCCGCCTTTCTCCTTAAAAGGACCCAAATTGTTTAGAAGAAGAGATGCCTGGAGGATCATCTGAGCTCTTGCGGTCACTTCTTCTGCCAAGTTATCAAGTTATTTAGTAATACTGGAAATGGAAGGATACATGTCCCTTTTTGGTTTTCTTTGTGACTCCCTGGAGATTTTCCATGTACTTTGTCAAAACTTTTCAGACACTTTGTTGTGGCAGATCTGTGTAGCCAGATTGCTCAAGAAAGGACAGACACTTTGTCATCCCATTAATGTAACTCTGGATCAGTTTTTCCCCCTGTTCTGTTCTTTTAAACTCATTCTCCATGTTAATTTTGTCCAAAATCTATCTCTTTCATTCCTCTGTTTACATTCCTTATTGAGCCATCAGTGAATGGAATCTTCTGTAAGAGCAGGATTCTCTTCCAACTATGATTTGGCCACCCTACTTTTCTTGAATGGTTAAATCTTTGTCTTCTTGTACTGTCCTGAACTTTATCATCTCCCTTTCCTTTGCTTCTACATCTGAGCCCGAAAAGTTGCTTCTAAAAAGTAATTAATCTCCATTTCTTTTTACAGTGTTTGACAGTTAGATCATGTTACTAATTAAAAGGCCTGAGAGGCAGCCCACTGCATTACATGCTACATCACTTACTGTACTTTTTTTTGGTCACTTATTCTATTTTAATGTTTCTGAGGTATCTCACAAATATTTTAAAACAAGTACAATTATTATTTTTAAAATCCCATAAACCCTTAGGGTTGGTAAAATATTAACTGAAAAAAAAGTGAAAAAATAGTTCTAAAAAGTAATTCTTTTGTTCATGTTATTTATATCCTTCATGTCTACTTACAAAGGGATTCAAGACTGCTTGAAATGCCTTGGAATGGCTTTAAAGGGTAAGTTTAAAACTAAATAGAAAATATCACACACAACCACTTGTCACACTATTTTTAAAATATAATTTCACTATGCCAAATGAGTAATGAATCTCCTGTAACTGAACTGCTTGCAACATGCTATTTCCACATGTGGCTGTGTGCTGACTACCTCTGTATAAAGAAGTAAGAAGTGACAAATGTGTGACTTCCTAATTAGTGTGCATACCATATACAAAGTAATTAGGTGGATCCAGGCACATTCCCAATTAAATTAACATGAGACAGCATCTCTCCATCTGGAAGAGGGTAGACTGTGGCTGTCTGGCTGGACTAAATATTTCCCACAAGTCATAAATGATCCACCATGCAATGAAGCTGAACCCATAAATGTAATTTTCAAAAGAAACAGAACTCATTTGATGAGTCGCAAGATTGCAGTTCCAACATTTCTTGCTGGGAAAAAGAAACTGCTTATTTACTCGACCTTACTTACTACTGACATCTTGATTGCATGGTGATGCAAATAATTGCTTTTAAGTGCTCTAATTCCGCCTACTCTCAGCTTATCAAAATCCTTTGCAGGATAAAACACTTAAAAGATGTTTTGTTTTCTGATTATTTCTTCCAATGATTGCTCATACTTTATCATCAGTTTTGTTTATAAGTGAAGAGTGGGAAACACACCCAAATGAATTTATGTCAGCAAAGCAATTAAGAGAGAGAGGAAGAGACAGGGGTATGGCTGTGGTTCAGCCAAAGCAAATTTTTATTTTTCTCATGTTGCTTTGTTTAATGAACACAAAGAAATTACTAATATAGTTGCTCACTATACTTTAAGGCAAGGTTGGAAAAAAGGCAGAGCAGAATGTACTGGTAGATCTCTTAGTGATTTGCAGGAGACTGGTAAGGGTTCATAGTCTCAATGTTCTATCAACAGCAACAACTAAAAAGTCTAACTTGTATGTTAGGTTCTTAGTGAATGCTTGGCAGCCCGAGCAGCAAAGAGCTCAACAAGGGCCATCATGTACCATCTCTCCCCCAGAGGCACAATGATTCTTCCCCCTGCTTGGACAATGGGTCGGAACTGTATGGCAGGGAACCAGCAGTGGACTTCTGCGCAAAAGGATTTATTAGCTTAATTCTCGTTTTGTTGTTATGTGCCATCGAGTCAGAACTGACTTATAGCAACCCTAATAGGACTTTCAGGGTCAGATATTTAAGGAGTAGATTTACCAGCCAGACCCCCAGAGAGCTTCAATGAATGAGTAGGGATTTAAACCTAAGCCTCCTGAGTCCTAATCCACTGCTCTATCTCCTACACTACACTGGGTATATCTGTGAAGATTCTTCGTCATCCAGGTGAGATCATCTGGAAGTTGGGTCATGGCAACTGGACTTCTTTCTTATTAGGTTGAAACATTTTGCTACTCATCTAAGTAACTTCTTCAGTCTGAGGAGAGTTGGTAGGAGATCCCTGATATATCCTCCATGTTGGTTTCACTTCCCCCTGGTCTGAATAGGCTTGTTAGAAGGACAAAGGACTGAGAGTGAGGGATAATTCCACTTCTGCAGATCTCCTCCACCCATTGTCATGGGTCAGTAACAGTTTTTAACTGGGTACTGATCACAAACATCTGGGCAGATCATTTGTACAGAAGCAAGGAATCTTGTTTCTTGAAATTTAAAATATTTTTATCTGCCACAGCCACTGTTTTTCTCTTGGGTCTGTTAACTAGATCAAATATTGGATTCTGTCTTTCTTTAAAAAGGAAATACGATACTGCAAGCTTTACATCTCCTTAGTTTAATTTAAGGGAATTATGAAAACCTTACAGGATTGAAGGGTATCCACTAACACCAATGATTGTTCATTAGTTGAATCAGCTGAATTGTTGCAATCTAATTTTTACTGTAAATTCAATGATGACTTGAGGCCCAATCTTAGCCCAAGTCACTGTTCCTTGCTTCCACAGCACAAGCTTGAGCACAGTTACATGAAAAAAAAGTCCCCTGGCATTCAATGAGGTGTACTCCCAGCAAAGCAAACATAGCACTGAAATGTTGGGAGGATCAGTTGGTGAAGATAAAGACAACTCACTGCTGTCACCTGTTTAATCCATCTCTTTACATGCTGGCACTTGCTGCAACACTGGGACCTAATTCTTTACATTACCAGAAGCCAGAGCTACTTTAGCATGGCTATTCTTCAACCCAGAAAACACTCAAGGAAGGCATCCTTTCTTTATGGTGGATAGAGCCAGGTGGTTATATCCTGTATCAGCACGTACTGCCATCCCCAAGTTAGGGAGAGGCTGAAGCAAAATGCAACTGCTTCTTCAGGCACTCCTGGATAGCTTCATTCAAACACTCCTGGGAGCAATGGGAGAAGAGGCTGCATTGATGTGATCCCCACTGACATCTGCTTAATTGTGAGGTATTAGGTTCTTAGCTGGCTACAGGCATGGTTTGCCTTCTCCCTCTTGAAGCCTAGGTAATCCAGAGGGCTGGGAAAGCTTTACATGAAGGTTTGAGGGTGACATGGAGGGCCGCAGAGATAAAGTGTTTCATGGCATCGGCATGACCTTGGATTTCAGCCATACAGTAGAATCAGGTATAGAAGAAACAGAATAGTCATGGGCAACATTCCCTCTAATTTTTGGCACCACTGCATAGGAGCCTCACCCTGTGCGTGGGTGCAAGGTTCCAGCCGAAACCAGAAGAGTGGGTGCAAGGTTCCAGCCGAAACCAGAACTGAACGAGCACCAACTCTGGCTGCCGGAGTGCAGCCCTGATGGAGCTCTTCATGTGCAGCTTAAAAGGAACGCTGGTGATGGGTAGTAGAATGGGTTCTATTATTTCAGACCTCAGATTGGATTTTGGACTGTGTGTCTGAATACAAGCTATAATGTATACTCTGTATAAGTAGAAAGCTAGCACATCAGAAAACAGACTCAAAATTGTCTGTATTAGAACCTTTATCTCATGTGCTTAATTAAAGGGAACATTAAAAACACACCATTATATGCTGGTGGTATGATATGGTGGACTCCACTACCTCCAAATCCTGCCATTTTGTTTTGCTTCATATATAGACCTGGTCATCAATGCCATTACTAACACTGGCAATGGCAGAAAATGTGCCTCCAAAGATGAAGAAATAGTAGTCACAGAAGCTCCTTCTCCCTTTCTCACATTAGCATTTTTAAAAATATATATTAATCACATTAGCTTGCAGCTGAAATATGTCTACTTGGAAGACGTTCTGTTGGAATTAAGGCCAGGAACAGATATTAGACCTAGCCCGCGGTGGGCAGAGGGAAATCCTTAACTAATGAAAGCATCTGACTGTCATATAGTGAGTTTCTCTCCCCTGCCAGGATTGCGCAAATTAGCTTTTTTTGTTTTGTTAGACTATTGATCTGCAGGACTTAAGCACAGGGTTTCTTTGAAGTCAGATTTCACAAACCTAGAAAGTCTGCCTCAATTACCTCTCTGTAATATTAATGAGCGTTCAGTCTAAATTATGAGCTACGTCCAGTGCATTTACTGGCCTTATGTGGCAGGTTCAGGTAAATACAGATGGGCTGTAATGCCAAACACACACACACACACACACACACACACACACACACACACACACACACACACACACACACACTTCTAAATAGAGTATAAAGTTCTGAGACAAGACTCCTAGGTGTTCTGTTTTGACTTTAAAAAAAAAATCATAAGCTGTCACCATGTTGAAGGCACAGACCTCCTGCCTGATGCATTCTCTCATCTGAGAAACCAATTGCCACACAAATTAGAACATTCAACAAAATAAGGAGAGAGGTCTTAATAACTTACAGTGATGACTCAGTTGTTGATACTCCACAACCCTTCTGTTTACACCAGATGTTTGCATAAAGCTCCGGGCATTGTTCTCCCAAATGGTAGATAATGTAGGGAACCTATTGCTAAACTCTCCACTTCAAATGGTACTTGAGGACTCACTGGACTGAATCCTCCTCCATATGACAAAACAGTCTGTGCACATAAAAAAGGATGGCTAGAACAAACTTGCTCTCCCCTGCCCTCTAGATTGCCACATACAGGGATCTCTGAATGAGAAATGCGTCTAGTTGTGCTTCTCCACTTGAATCTGAAGTGGCAGAACTGAGACTCGGGTTCAAACTCTCCACCCCTGCTGTTTGGGCAAACTAGATTTTAGCCCAGATTGCCTTCCCCCTAATTTATCAAAGGAACTTGTGAGGGCTTAAGGATGACCCTTTGGAGGACACTTACATAGAGTTAGCGGTAACCAGAAGTTCTGCGTTATCGAAGAGGGTAAGCCCCGGCACTTCAACAATGAGGACATATATAAATTCAATAATCAACATCAAAATGAGTTTCCCGATGCAACTGATCTGAAGAAATACAGAGCAGGCCAGGAGGCTCAGTAAGACACTGTAGGTAAAATACTGTGGAGAGGAAGTTGGGGACAGGAGAAAAAAGAAAACAAAAAGAGGCATGAAATTCAGTAAAGTTCAGCAAATGCCAAGTAAACAAGGCTGCAAACTTGTGTTAAGAAGGAATAATCCTAGATACAAATTAACACCCTTCAGTTGCCATGGTTGTTTATATGGAAGCCAACACTTTAGACTCCATTAGCTCCCAGGAGAGCTGTGAAATATCAAACCCACCAAGCCAGCCCTAATATGGCCTCTCACTGGCCCGCTCAATGCAACCAATATTACAAAATGTTTCATTTTTGGGAGTACTGATTCCTAGAATCCCCTGCTCACAGGGCCACTAGCCATGTAGCCTGGAGAACTGTAGTCTGGAATGTTTCTAGGCTCTGCAATAAATTAGCAGCTCATTTCATTGTCTGACTGCAAAAACAAGAGGGAGAGGCTTTAAGCTTTTTCAGGCTGCATTTAGTGGGACAAGCTGGGCATCCTTCACTTACAGTCAAAGCACTATTCCCCCGTTTCTGTTGTCCTCATGAGCTCTTAACAACACTGGACTAAAGTACAATAGTCAAGGATTGTTCCTGATCTAACTTCTTAGAACGAGCACATATTAACTACAAGTTACAATTTGTTAAAAAAAACCCAACAATTTTAAAGCATATTTTATTGCTAAAAGAAGCATGTGCTCAGAGGTTAACTTAGTGAGCCAATTAAAACAATAACAACAAAAAAGTACCCAGCTAACTATGTTGTGTATGCAACACATACAATGTCTGCAACACACTGTGATACAGGAAACTGGCTATCAGAAATGCAACCATCCACTTTTTAAAGCCCACTTAGCTTTTTTTAAAATTCCTAAACCATGCAGTAAACATAAACATTTAAAACACATACACACAACTTCATAGCAGTAATTGGGTATGTCTTTTTTAAAATTAGTACCTTTTGAGCAAATTCTACAAACTGTGGGAGGATGTTACAGGAGATACAAGTTATTGCAGCTCATTCTCTCCATAGGAAGAGAACATGAAAAGGTCTACTGCCTTCCACACTCCACAGGCAGCAATTCCATGGCAGGCTATCATTGAAGGACATACACTCAGAGCTTGAAATTTTCATTTTTTGGACAATAGCTCCTGGAATTACCCTCTGCCAACAATGCCAATTGTGGACACTGTACTCTAAAAAGGTAGTGCTTCCAAGATCTGGAAATGCCAAGAGAAGCTGAACATCTACAAGATCCTAAGCCTTCTTGGTCTCCAGTATCCCTGAAGGTAAAAGGTTCCCCTTGACAATTTTTTTGTCCAGTCGTGTTTGACTCTAGGGGGCGGTGCTCATCCCCGTTTCCAAGCCATAGAGCCAGCGTTTTGTCCGAAGACAATCTTCCGTGGTCACATGGCCAGTGCGACTTAGACATGGAACGCTGTTACCTTCCCACCGAGGTGGTCCCTATTTATCTACTTGCATTTGCATGCGTTCGAACTGCTAGGTTGGCGGGAGCTGGGACAATTGACAGGCGCTCACTCCGTCACGTGGATTCGATCTTATGACTGCTTGGTCTTCTGACCCTGCAGCATAGGCTTCTGCGGGTTAGCCCACAGCGCCACCACGTCCCTTCCCAGTATCCCTGAAGCTGGCCACACATTTACATCTGTGCTGGAGTTGATGAAGCTAATTCTCATCCACCCATGTGATGGTGTTAACAGAAGAGAAAACTGAAACAAGAGGATTATGCAGTGAGCGATGGCAAAAACACACCTCTTATACCCAGGCTGTAATAAGTCAGCAGGGCATGGGAAGCATCTTATTTTCCCTTCTTCCTGCCATAGAACTTGCTGCGTCAACTGTTTTTATTTGCAGTTTGTAATTTTGCATCATGACCATCAGCTGCTGTACAATCCATTCTTACGGAGAATGGGGTGATGTTTTGTGATGGCATCAATGGGCCATGGCCACATGAGAATTCAGATGGTGAATCATGATTTTGAACATTATCCCCCAACCTTCTTTGAAAAATGTATCTGTTTATTTAAGGAATTTACTTTTACCAAAAGGACTGATACAACCCCTCCAGGAAAGCAAGAAAACACGGTAAATAGAGTAAGGCATCGGATCCCAACAGAGCTACAATAAATCGTTTCCCCCAGATGTGTTTGCTTGCTAAATGAAGGACGTTTACTACCTACGGGAATGGTAAATGGTCCTACCAAGAATTTGGAGAGACAATTATACCATATCATTCTATGTGACACATAAAGTACATTCTGTACCTTATTGAAAAACAAAGTGGGGGAGTGGTCACAGCTCCATGACAGTGAGGGTTCATTCCATGGTCTAAGGCAGTTGGGCTATGATGAAACTGTCCTTGGAGACAAAGCAGCTTCATTTCAGGCTGCACATATGCGTAAATAAATATAATAAATGCACACAGACCCACAAACATGCACACGTGGCTTCAAGCAAATACCTCTGGAAAGTTGCAGCTTGGCTGGGAGCTAGCACAGAACCCCTGTGCTGTTCCCAGGCTGTAATTGAAGGCAGAGTAGCTAATGTGGCACGTGTTCCCCTTGTGTGGGGTGATGTTATACTCTGCAGCCATGCACTTCAAAAGATCCACGGTACTGCATGTGAACTGGCAGAAAGCAAGAGACAAATATACAGTAAAGGCAAGGAGAAGTGGGGAGAAACACAAGTAATGTAAAATGAGTACGAATGCATTCAAACAGGGATGGTGAGGTGTGGCCATCCAGATGTTGTCAGATCCCTCATCCTTCACCATGTTGTCTACTGGTAGCAGAAATTGCCATAAGAAAACATTAGTGACTCATGCATTCAAAAGGTGGTTACATACATGAGAAAACCAATCCAGTACAGGTTACTGTTGGTCTTATTAAAGTGAAACATTAATTCGGTATATAGATGTCACTGCATGTAATGATTAGCAAGTGTGCAAAACATCCATTTGCCTCTTTCTGCAACTGAGTCACAACTAATGACTCAGAGAGGGCCTTCTCAGTGGCTGCTCCCAGGCTTTAGAATGCACTGGACCAAGAATCCAGATTGACCCCCTCCCTCTTGTCCTTCTGTCATCAAGCAAAGACTTTTCAGGTAGGCTTTTGAGAAATAAGCAAGAGTTTCAGTAATGCTTTATTTATTATATTTAGAGATTGATTTTTTTAAAAAAAATAAACTTTGTTTTGAACCATTGGTTTTAATATTGATAAATGTTTACTTTCCAAAATCCCATTTCTTTGGTATTTTTAAAACCGTTGATAACTGTATAGTTTTAATTGTTGTGAGTTGCCTTGGACCCCCTACAGAGATAAACGAGGCATATAAATAATAAAAATACATAAATAGTCCCTTCATTGAATTAATACGTTATAAAACTGCACCTGGGAACTCCGGTCTAAATCCTCCAGGTTGCAGAATCTGGTTGAAGGATCAGCATTGCTCCAAAGCGGCAAATTTCACACTAGATCAACTGGTGAGGTTTGGATTAAAGCTCCCTTCATCCACAGACATCATGGCCAACACAGGGCCCCAGGTTGGATGTATATGTTGACAAACCATGTTGACAAACCATGTTGATAAACCACTTACCATGTTGACAAAGGCTGAGAGAAAAACCAATATAATGGTGAAGACCCCAACTATGGTGTTATTGGTCCTGGACTGAACAATTTTCCGTGAAAGAGCCTGCAGCGGATCTGGAAAAAGCTGGACACAGAAACAAACATATTGGGAACCATGATTTTGTACAAATATTTTGCATAAAGATGAGCAGCATGCACTACGAAGTAAAACACTGATTTACCAAGGGAACGTTTAATGCACATATGCCTTCCTCTATAGGTAAGGCAGGAAAACTCAACACTATAATTACTGGGCAATCCTGACATATTGACTTGAGACCCAGGGGAGAAATAATGGCTTCTAGACCTAACTGACTGAGAACAGACTAGAAAGCAAAGATTCTAGACCTAACTGACTGAGAACAGACTACAAAGCAAAGAAGAATACCATATTTTTCCATGTATAAAATGATAATTTTTCCTAAAATAGAGGGAAAATTGAGGGTCGTTTTATACACGGTAGCAAAGAGGGGGGAGGGATCAAAGAACTTTGATCCCTGCTTTCCCCCTCCACTTTTTGCAAAGAAAGTGGAGGGGAAAGCACCCCATGCACTTTCTTTGCAAAAAGTGGAGGGGGAATGCAGCTTTTTGCAAAGGAAGTGGAGGGGGAAAGCACTTTCTTCCCAAGAAAGTGGAGGGAGAAAGCAGGAACAAAAGCGCTTTGATCCCTGCTTTCCCCCTCCATTTTCTTGCAAAGAAAGAAATTCTGGGTTAGAAAAGTGGGGGCGTCTTATACATGGGGGTGTCTTGTACCTGGAAAATATGTTAAAAGGTCAGGGTTTTGTGTCTCCAAATAGCTACACTTTGCAGTAAGAAATCTCAAATTATGATCTCAGAATACATGGTTCCAAGGCATGGATGCAGAACGTCCAAACATTTTGCTGTTTCACCTGGAACAGCAAACACCATCCCTTCTCCCTGGTCTCAGGTACTCATATAATTCAAGAGACATGGTACCCAGAGCAAGGCAAATTATTCTGGCAAAGGAGACTGGAAGTTCTATTAAGTACCCCTTCATAGCTGTTTAAATATAAATATAGCAAATTAAATTATTAACAATTAGCTGCCCTTTTAACACCACCCCCAAACAGCTGCTTAAGTGAGCTGCTATGCTTCACCTAATATCTGGGCTGGCCCTGAATGGATATATAGACCTCCATATTCCTAAATACTGTGTAATGATTTGTTCTGCTTCCAGCATTTCATATTTCAAAGAACAGGGAGGTTGGGCTAGGACTAAAACAAAAGGAGAATAAAGGTTAGGCAGACAACAAGTTCAAAGAGAACAACGGATTGTAGTAATGAATTCTGGCAAGATGCCGCAAAACCTCAGCATGATCAAAGGCTCAGGAGACTGGGCTCATATTGTACCTGGTCATTGAAAGGAATTCAGTAGTATCTATCAAGTCAATGCAACCTTCGCAGGAATTTTCAGTAACCTCTGAATTAAGTAAATGGATTGACTGCAATCAGCAGATGTCCGAATTGTCAGTTTGGGATCCCCAGATTTAATCATCTTCCCCTGGTTCGTTTAGGACAGCACTCATTTCTCCAATTGCATTTATTAGACTTTCCTCTACTTTGGGGTTCCCCTCTTCCCCAAATCTCTCACTCTCGTTTTTAGTGTTCCAAAACCAAGGGGAGATGCTGAAGAGATGTTTAATTTAGAATTCTGCTGTTAAAATTCTGTAGAACCAAAATGTCTTCCTGCTGTACGTTAATTTCACCTCACTACAGTACTCCCGGTCTCTGTCCCTAGAGACCAATCTGTGACATGAAGAAATTACTCCAGAATCTGTCATTATTATTGCACCAGCTAGACTTCTAAGTAATTTATGTTTTTTTTAAAAAAAAACCAGGCAGTGACAAATGGCTTTTCAATGATGACTAACCACTCCACATTCCCCTTTTGCTCCCCTTTATTTTTGCACAGTTAGAGGGCCGGTGTTTTGCTTCCTACACAAGCATAATTATGAAACTGATGACGGGAAAGCAGATTTGCTGATGCCTCTTACAAAAGGGGACAGAAACCACCTGCAGGAATGGCAAGAATCTTTGGGATGTTGCCTTCAACAACAACAACAAAATCAGTTTATTTCCTAACAAAAGGTAGGAGAGAAGTGAAGGCCCAGATGTGGGAATCAGCTTGAGGGGCAGGATAGGAGCATAATAGAAGACAGCAAGATGCTGCAAGAACATTCTGAAAAGCTGGCAACATTCTTGCAGGGTAATGAATCACAGCAAAATACCACCCTATTTTATACCAGCAAGAAGAAAAGTTAAACTACCTATAACACTGGGACCAGAATTCTCTTATCACCCATACCAGATCAAATGAACCCTGCAACCAAAGTCTGCCTAATCAGGCTCTCATCAAGCCATGAAGGAAGTTCAAGGTCAGAATGATAGGATTCCACTGACTGATGTCACTCAGACATTTGCAATGTCTCCAAATTTGGAAAAGAGTTAACAGTTTGGAACCTGTTAATCAGAATAATTTAAGTGCAAAGTATGAAAACAATTTTGTCATACAATATTTCATGTTGTTCTTCTGGAATTTCAAAAGCAGCTGAAATCCTCGATCACAACATGTGATGCCAGAGGCAAGAGGGGGTCCCTTTCGAATGGGAAGGTCTTGTGCAACAGGCAAGGTGGCTGCCTGTGGGTCTAAAGGTTGGCACTACAGTACGGCAAGAATAGATACTGGAACACTTCCAGCATAAATATGAAATCCCCCCACCCGCTCATGGCTTAACTTTTTGTAAACACAGATTTAACAGGGATGTAGAGAAATCCCTAAAATTTATTCATTGGTTGACAAAAGGATCTTAATCCAGGTTGTTAAAATCTGTCAGCATCATAGATCTGGGACCTACATCTACAGGCTGATAGATGATTCAGCTGTGTTTTATAGAGGACGAAGGAAATGAGTGGGCTTAAGTAAGCTTTACTCCATGCTGGATTGTGAACAACTGTGGCTTTGCTTCTTGTTTTGGCTTCCTGAACAGATTTTAGTTTGCAAGTTGAGTTGGGCAGAGACAGAGTACTTTCATTTACATTCAGATCTACTAGAAGGGAGATCTTTGCTGCGTGCACAGAATGTTACCCAGGAACAGGGAATGTTATTCAAAGAACAAAAGCTGTAAGTTACAGAAAAGTAAGGAGTCAAATCATAAAAGGTAAAGGAGTGAGAAAAGGAAACACCAGACAAAGGTTCCGGTTGGCTGCAATGCACTGAGTGAGGCAAATGGACATAAGCAGCAATGGCAGCCAAGAAAAGGGTCTGCTGAAGGTCTTACAATATTGAAAATGGAAGTTCCAATAATTTATTGATTTGCCCCTTTTGACTATTTCCTCTTTCAGAAGCTGGAGAGAGGACAGATCTGTTATCCTGAACTGAGGCTGAAACTACACTAGCAAGTCGAACTGGAGTGATTTGGCTATTCTGCGCCTTGATTTGCAGCATATTTTATGCTTCGGATTAGGTGATTGCACAGAGACCGCAGATTGTTTCAGTGCCAGTGTCCACACTAGCTCTTCAGTCTGATGAGGTTTGATCCACACCACAGCCCACAGATGCTCTGATCCTGTATTTCGCCAATCCATGGCTCTTCTATTCTGGTTCACTCTAAAGCTAGTGAGCTGTTTAAAGTGTTGCACAGCTCTAGAGAAAAGGGAAAGTTTTCCAAAGTTCTCAGATACACACATAGTACGGAAACACAGTAATCTGCTGTAGTTTGTCAAAATTGCTTCTATTTCATATTATTTTTTTGTCCATAAATATGTGATCCAACACTAAACTAGTATAACAATTTAGTGATAAGGTGATCTAGCACTTAACATGGCAATTTGTTTAAAAACTACTTCAGGATGACTAGGGAGAAAGATCGCAAGAGTGGCTGCTCCTGCTGTCCAAAACATCACATCCAACATAGTATATCACCAGAATACCACCCACAGTTATGTCCCCTATCCCTTTGGAGAACAAAACAACTGATTACATGGGAAAAAATCTGTTCGAATCATTCCAGCTTGAAAAAAATAGAATCCTCCAGGAATGGGTGAATGAAATAGGCTTTTGGAGAAGCTTGGCTGGGACATCAGGCTGTGTTCACAGCTGTGCCAGTGGAGAGATCCGGGGTCCAAGTGTGGGTTGATCTGGCCCGGAGGATATAGAAGAAAACACACCATCTCAACGACAGCTTGCAGATGTTCTTCAGCTTTTTTGTGAGGCACATCTAATTGAAGAGTTCCCCAATATTACTACTGTGCTTAAGCTGTGCTCAACAATGATGATCACCAGCTGGGAAGCAGAACGGCATTTTTCAGAGCTATCCTTTATAAAGAACGAATGTTGGTCTACCGTGACGGACAAGCACTTATGCATATTGTCTCCAGAAAATGACACTGCAACCAAGCTCTCCAACATCCAAACCATACATTAACATGTTGCTAATGGAAAAACAGAAATGGAACCCCCAGCAGCAAAGGAAAAAAAAAACTTACTTCGGGAGCAAAAAGGGCCAGATCCAAATTGGTGCTTGTGCCCCATGATCAGTTTGAAAAGAAAGAGAATTCATCCATTTTACACCCACAATCAATCCATGTAGTTGTAGCCTTAATGCTAAGTACTAGGAAAGAACTGGCTGATGAAGGGAAAGTGGCTGGACGCTGGGGAAAACATGACAAGATCATCTTGGAATTTGTTATCACTAGGGATGTGGAAACTATTAATAGCTGGTCATGTTCCCTAAACTTTTTTTTTAAGAGCTTATTTCAAATGAACTCAGCAAAAATTGGGTAGGATCCTATGGCTAGAAGTTCTGGTAGGAAAAAATAGTTCATTAGAGAAATCTGGAAAAGTGAAACACTGAAAACATAATCATGAAACCATTCCTGTGAGGAGGGAAAATATAAGATACCTCAAGAAGCAAGTGTCCCCTGTAAAGGGAGCTGTCTTATAAGCTGATACATTAACAGTCACATCCTGCACTGCAAATAAGGTGCTAAGCAATGGGTTCAGTCCATGGCTGGTAAGAGTACCAGGATTGGAGATAACTTGTAGTAAGATCTAAACTTTTAGAGTTTGTCAGGCTCACAGTCAGATTCTGTCTTGGCTCTGTCCCCATTTATCAAGGTTTCGCTGATCTCATGCCTATGCTATACTCCAGATAAAGATGGAAACTGAGATGCCATCAAGCTTTCATGATCCTAACAGGTTCCCAATCCCTGGTCAAACAGGGCACCAACCAATCAGTTAGCTCTCTCTCAAGTACAATACATATCTCCATAACAGGAAGTCTAAATCTGTCATGAACTTAAAATCATAACTATTATTCCATAGAACAGTTTTATTTAAAACATTGTGTATTCAACTAGCAAACAGAACTTGTTTGAGGTGGAAGCTAAGTTCTCAGGAATAGCCGCTCATCTCAGAAAGGAGTTGAGTCAGAGTGGGAGGTCACAGCATTCAAAACATTTCGCAGTAGTATTTAGTATTTTTGGATACGCAATAAAGTATTTTTGGATATGCAGGCAACAGTTCAGAGCTCAGATATTGAAGTCAATATGCGAAGGCAACATAAAATGTCATAATTTTAGCCTAGTAAGTTGTCAGATAACGTTTTTATTAGCTACTATTAGCCAAAGTAAAACTTTTCCACTCATTTAATTTTTTTTTCCTCCTTGGAAAGAAAATTAAAGAGCATTCCATAGCTCTGGCTATGCTATGATAAAATACAGAAAGGTGGAGAGCTGATATACAGACATGTTTCTTATATAGTTCGTTCTTTTTCAACCAAAATAATTTTATATAAAGTTAATTGGTGCCTTTAACGGTAGACCCTACTTCCCTCAAACACAGCATTGAATAGTATATGTGGTAAGTTGTTCACAAGACATTTGAGTGTATGTCAGGTGTTTTTTAAAAACCAGATGCCTCTCAGTAGTTCATTTATGAAGAGGCCTTGCTTCCCTTTCTCAACAGCACTGAGATTTTGATTAAAAGGTACATTGAAATCCTTTCCATGTTTGCACCATGGTTAAGTACCAGTCAGTTCAATGGGACTTGCTTTCAGTGAGGTATGTGTGTATGGAACTGGAGCTTAATCCTTATTTTTAGCTGCAGAAATACAGAAGTCCCACTGGCTAGAGGATGTTTCCCATTACTTACCGAATAACTAGCCACCAAAGAAAAAAGGTTAAGAACCACTGGGCTAGAGGATGTTTCCCATTACTTACCGGATAACTAGCCACCAAAACAGGAGTGGTCTCATAAATAAAACCACTGTCATATTCTAACTCTACAGACTCATTCCATCCCCCACTTCTCCAGAAGGTTATTGAGAGCCAGAGATTCCAGAAACCCCAGAGGGCTGTCCAGATAGTCCTGGAGTTCTTTCTCCAGTGTTCCTGCTCCACTGACCCTAAGAAAAAGAACCCTAGCATGGCTTCCCTTGGGGGACACTAACAGGAAAGCCCTTAAATCTAGCATGGATTGTTGAGTAATTATTAATCAACTAAGAATGTCATAACATAAAGAAGTGGGCTTGCAGATACTTACTAAAGCATAAAATCTGTGGAAATGCAAAAATCTTTTACAAATTTTTGTGCAGATTTTCAAAAATGAAGATTGGTGCAGAATTGAAATCTAATGAACCTAACAGGGTTTTTTTAAATAGTGAAACATATTGAGAATGTTAAAAAAGAAGATATTGTGGGGATCCAATTACACACCAGTTATTTTGTGCTGGTTCCAACTTTATGGCTCTTACATTCATCCATTTTGGTGCTGTGTGTTCTTGTTTTAATTCTTCCTTCCACCTGCAACCGCAGTGATGCCCATCTGCCAGCAGAATGGATCTCTGTTGGAAGGAGGTATCCCTCCCTCTCCTTGCACCTCCCTAATCTTTGTCACTATTACGGCTTCAACCACTCTCGTCTTCCAGTGAGGACAAGCCAAACAACAAAGTGACCATCTGTGCTTGATCCTGAATCCTTAAGGGTTAGGAACCTGGACCCTCTTCTAGGATCAGAAGAGGCAGAGGAGGTTGGACATTTTCCCAGATCATGTGAACATGGCTGAAGGCACAAGCCTAGAAAGAAGCTCTCAGATGAGATGCTCAGCTGGAGGGGAAGACACGTTAGTAGCAGAGGCTTCCTCAGAAGCAGAGGTTTTCATTGAGGCAACCAAGGAGACATGCTGGCCAAACGTCTGCAACTGAAGTTAGCAAGGGGCTTCAGCAACTCAACTCTGTAAACCACAGAGTTGGGACTGTGGATTTTTCTGGAAACCATATCTTCTCTGGTTTTAGGTCCTCTTGCTTGTTGTGTGCACTGCCCCTTGTTGAAGACTCCTGGACTGTACTGACTCTTTTGAACTCTCTGTCTTTGTGGTGACCTCAAGGGATCAGATGTGTGGGAAGGGGGAAAGGAAGGAGACCTATACAACACCTATTGAAAGCTGTTTCTTTTTTTTAAAAAAATAGAATAATACAATGCCAAATTGTTTGTGTAATATAACATTATGTTTATCCCTAAGAAGCACAGGACAAAACCTATGATGGAGAAACTCTTTATTTCACACCGTGATGATGGAGAGGGTGTTTAGGTGGTTTTCTTGTGTATCCTGAAATGAATGCCTGAACTGCATGGCTATGTATGACAGTTTATTCCCAACTTTGTTATTGGACTAAAATTGGACTAAAATTCCCAAAAGCCTCCACCACTAGCTTATGCTGGTCAGGATTTCTGGGAGTTGCAGTCCAGGAATATTTGGGGACTCAAGGTTGGGAACCACTGATGTAAGACATCAGCCAAACCTTTGGTCCCTGGGAATGCTTAGATCTCTCTCAGGTTGAAGAACCTTTTATTTGTGTCTTGGTTCTTCCTAGCCCTTGCTGGGAATGAAGTACTGGGCAGGACCAAGATGGCTGGCTCTCTAACCTTTGTCCCTTTGAAATATATCTGCCATTAAAATTAGTCACTGGCCAAAGATCTATTTTATGACCCATCCAATTATTTTATCAACCAAACGTAAAAGCATGTATGTACCTCTATCCTTCGAGGAAAACATAACATAAAGTGTTAGAAGTCCCAAAGCTAGCCTAGTTAAGAAGTTATCAGAAAACCACACCAGCATTATTTGTTTTTCATCATAAAAACTGCCAGGGTAATCTAAACTGCATTTAAACCAAATACCTTTCAATTAGCTTACTCACCTTGACACAGGAATAAATGACAGAAACAAACACTACTGTGGTCAGCATCACAAAACAGGTCAGGTAGAATGCCAGCATAAACACAGAGCTGAAACCAGAAAACACAGCCATGTGACTTAGGTGTAACAAATGAGGAACAATACAGTAAAGGCGTTGCTGAAAGCAGGTAAGAATGGTATAGAACAATTGAAAGCACATCACTGTTCCCTTCAAGTGAAAGAAACACGGAAGACGGATGCTATACCATTCTGCTACAGTAAGAAGAAGAAAAAACCTAAGGTATGATTTAAGCATGCCAATCCACAAGCTAGCAGTAAGGAAAATAAACTAGGATGGTACCTTACTGAACTTGATAATGGGAGTGTTTACAACCAAGTATGGTACTCAGTTTACACAGCTCTTTATTTGTATACTGTCTCATTTTCCAAAATCTAGAAACACTGATTTTACTTAAAATGAACTGAAGCTGTAAGTCTTGTAACAATAACAATAACTACATCTAGTATTCAAAGCTATTGAGTACAGAAAAAGCAAACCAGTTGTGGCGACTTTTCTTTGCGCCTCTGTCATTATTCTCATCCCTCTCCATTGTTTCTTTTTTTAAAAAAATATTTTTCTACACAATATAGAACAAAGAAATGGTGTTACTGCTGGAGTTACAAGCATGCAGAGGCTCCGTTTCACAGAGGCAGAACCTTTTATGTTTAAACTTTTTAATTATTACAACAAGGAAGGAAAAGGACAACATGCCAACACAAGATCTATATATGTTTATGACTCATAGCTATAGGAGTGGAACCTGCAATGCAAAATCTTACGAAGCAAAGTGGTTCTGTTCAGTGTTCCGGCCAGCTAAGTATGCCCTGCTTCACAGAACCTGACTGGATATCTCCTCTGTATTTTGGTTTTCCATTCCAAAAATACAACAAAGCCTGGGGATTCTGAAGTCAGTGCTCTCAGGTGGGCTGCTGGAGGAGATGGAGATTACCACCAAGATTCTTTCCCCCTCAAAAGGCTTCTTCTCACATCTGAGTTCATGATCTTGTGTCTACATTTCATCCATATTATACCCAGTCTACAAAATCAAGAATATGTGTTGTAGGAAAAAAAAGATGAGAAATGTTTTCCCTGAGAGTGGGGTGGGAGCCATTTAGGAACTGTTATTTCCTAACTGATAGTCAGTGTAGTGTTCTGACCAGAGTGCTGGACTAAAGCCACAATGGAATCAGTAGCTTCATCCAGAGTAGACTGGATAAATCAGTGGATTTAACATAAATGAGTCACGGATCTGTTTGAGTTGGTATTTGGGTCTGTGACTCAGGAGACTTTAAATCTGCACTCAGCCACGGAACTCTCTGAGTGACCTTAAGCCAATCATCTGGTCTACCTTACAGGGTTGTTGTAAGGGTAAAGATGGTGGGAAAGCCCTTTGTATGCCCCCTTGAGTTCACTGGAGGAGAAGTGGGATATAAATGTAATGAATGAATGAACAAATATTTTATACTGAGAATTCTGTTAGACATTTGTAGCCTCAAACCTCTACCATAATAGAACTATTACTTGTTTTCTCTGAGGTAGGAACTAGGTAGGAGGACTGAGATCCATAATTTCTCAACTCATGTTCACCTGAGTTCAAAACTGGTCATATAGACCAGATGAGCGGGATACAAATCATATCAAATCAAATCAAATCAAATCAATCAATCAATCAATAAAACTGCTACATGACAGGGCAAACATAGTTTTTGGAAAGAAAGGGTTCCAGGCTAGGCACAATACAGCCTGTCAGCTACATGTGGGTTTGGGATTCCCAGTGCATCCCCAGGTCTATCAGTCACTTCCATGTTTTTGAAAAAAAGACCTTTTCCAGGACTAAAACAGGGTCCCAGGAAATTACATGAAAATAACAAATCATGCCTGCAGAGGTTTTTGGAACCCAGACCCTTCCCTCCAGATTCAGCCATCAATAAGTAGCACTACATCTTCCTTGCTTTCATCCTACTAGAGATACATAAGGGATTGTATGTGGTATCTATTCTTATTCAGACTTTGTTCCACAATCCCCCAGACTGGATACATCGGTCACTCCAGAATCCACACATTGCTGGATACTGCACTGATAGTCAGGAAAAGACGTGAAACCCACTAACTACAATTCATGCATTTTAAGAAATACGCTTTATAAAGGTGCACATCGGAAATGACTGCAGAACCCTAACAGAAACCTGCCTTAGACCATAGGAAGAATGTGTGTGAGCCATGAATTCAACTGAATATGTCCATTTTCTGAAACTGTGCCTTGATCCATTGGGTTCTGGCCCATAAAACACACACCAACAACTGATGCACAAGACTAGACATGGGGGTAGGAAAAGGAGGGAGTCTGTGGATGAGGACTTGGTAGAAGCTGACCTTCAAAATGCCAATGTGGTCGGCACAGGCACACAGGAGAGTTCCAAAAGGCATACCAGGGGCAGGGACTCCTACCATCCCAGCATGGAAGGGTTGGGACAGGCCACTGTCATGCCAGAGAAACTGAAGAAGACACTGCCTCCTCTGCACCGAATCTGATTTCTAAACACCACCATGATCCAGATTACATATGGTCTGCTCCAGAGTTAAAAATGCTAACTCAAGTCTTATAGATCATCGTCATGTTGAGTTGTAGAATTTATTAGTGGCAAATTTTCATGCTGGATCATTATTCTAGAAACAAACAAACAGAGCAGATTCTTTCCCCCCTTTCCCCCTCTCTCAACCATCCCATGCCCCTCCTGCCGCTCAAGCTCATCTATAATTCAACAGCAATGATTACCGTGCTCAGTAACATTAAGGCAAACCACATGAAAGCCAGCTGGGTTTCATGCTCTTTCCTGACTACAAAGAGCACTTCTACTTGCTAATTTATTCACTAGTTGTTGTTTTTTTGCGGCAATCCTGCTGATTATAATAAAACAATCAGAGCCATTTTGCTGAGAATTCTCGGTTCAACTTTCTGCTTGTAGCTGATGAACATGTACAATATTGAAACACATATTTTCATATATGTGAGAATATGCGCTCGCAAGGTTCACACACACAAACACACACACACACACACTTTTGATCGATGAACCATAGGGCTTTTATATTTGTTTGTTTGTTTTGGAAAAATTAAAAAAAATTACTGCTCCCTCACTAGTAATTCAGCACTACTTCTGTTTAAGAAAGATACTGTGGCTTCTTTAAATATACAATATTCTGAGATCTTTGGACTGGGAAAGAACAGTTCAAAAGCTGATAATAGATCAAGATATAAAAATTGCATCTTGTTTGATGGCAGACATGCAAGGAAAGAGGGGGAAGAAGAAGCATTTGGGCACACAACTTGTATTTCATTTAATCAATTAATTGTCAGACTGAGATCATCTTCATATTCTTGACTTGGGTATGGATTTATACTTTTCATTGCCCTGAAGCTCTTGGACAACATGTTCACTCGAGGCAAGTCAGTCTAATAGCAATTTCCCCTTCCCAAGTTTGGAAATCGTAGTTATGGGAGAACAGACTAGGGACTTCTATCTGACAATTATCGGTGCCCTCAACAAACCACAATTCCTAGAAATGTCTAGTAGAAGTCATAACAACACCATTGGTATAAAGCCAATGTAAATTTGTACAGTAGGATTTAGCTGGGAAAAATAATAATATTTACCTCAGAATTTACCCTGAAGCCTCATATTTGATCACTTCCATCCCTCAAGCAATTAGAATAAAGGCAAAAATAAACTGTTAATGGCAGTTGTGGTGTGCGGTTTTTGGCAGCAATTCATGTTTAAGGACTCTTGTCACAACAAGCCTTGGACCCAACTGAGTCTCCACCCAATTCATGTTGTTCTCTCAGCGATCAAGAGACAAACAGAGAGCAAGGCAGCCAGATACTGTTGGTAGGAGATGCTCTTAATGCTTCCACTCCAAAATTCTCCATTGTCCTGGGAACAAGCTCCTTTCCTTAAGAGAATGAACAATCACATCATGTCTGTTCCAGCACCTATCCCTGATGTAACTTCCCAGCTATTCTTTTGATACTTGGAAAACAGGTAGTGAAGTGGGTTTCATTTCACAAGTGGTTAAGAGTCGCTGGCACTGTTTGAACAGGGGTGGGTGGGAATCTCTTGTCTAGCACCGGGATGCTGAAGATTTTTGTTTGTTTGTTTGATTGTTTATGATCACACTCTCTAAAAGGTGAGGGAAAAGCATGAAGCCAGGTCCAGTATGCTTTCCTCTTACCCTAGCTGTTATCTCCAGGTACCCTTCCAGTAGAGTGGAAGACACTGAGGACATGTATCTGAGATCGTCTGTTTTCTTTTCCCCTTCCCTCTCCCCTTTTCATTTGTCTCCTGCCTTTTAAGGCAACCAGTGGCTGAAATCCAGCACCATGTCAAACTAGAGTAGGGCCACCAAATCAGTAGAGCTTACAGAGGACTTGACTCACTGAATCCCCCCTGATTCAATGGGTCTACAGAAGATGCAACTTACTACTGGATTTCAGCTACTGTCTTGTGTCTTTTGAATACTGAGCAAGGCACTGTGAAGATGCTTGCAACTAAGTGATTGATACCAGTCAGCCCAACTTTTGCCATAGTTCTCGTGTCTAATATCTATCAATATTTTAAAGTTGTAATAGAGTAGCTGAACAATTCTTTAGTTACGAACTGCTGGTAAACTGAGTTATTTCGCATTATAGGTTCAGACCTTTAGCACTGTGCACCACAAATAAGACTAAAGTTAGTTTCTCATAAACATGATTGTCATTTTTAGGCAGCGTCTGAATTCGTGTTTATTTCTTTATCTGGCAAAATTTCCACCCAAGTCCTGAAATGAACTGTACAGTGGGAGCTTTGCCCAAGTTAAAGTTGACTGAGAACTTCTAACAGCAGGCTGTCTGCTAATATGCACAATCTGTAACAAATACGGTATATTTAACCCTCTGCTCCCGAATTGCCTGACATGATGAAAACAGATCTAAATATATTTTAAACATATAGAAAACAAACAAAGCAGCACAACAAACTTTATAATTAGAACATTTCTCACACAGTAATTCTG